GAATGCTAGTTGAACTGGGAATGCTAGTTGAACTGGGAATGCTAGTTGCCAGCGCTGTCAAAACTTTTCAAGCTATCATAGCGCTGTAAAATAGCGTTCTCACCCCCTTCAAAACCCCGCTGCGGTAGGTTGCCACACGAATCAGAAGAATTGCCCGACTGAGCAACGTTCTCCACTTGCTCGGTAGAAGGTCAACAGGCAATCTGCATGAAAGGCTCCGGACTCAAATATGCTGAACAACTTATAACTCATCATGGCAGCTGGCATATTGAGTACCTCATGGAAGGCTGGAGATCGTCCTTCCGGAAGTTCCGAAGGAGTTTGAACGCATTTGAAAACCACCTTGTGGTAAAAAGAAGAGGAGAATGAAGTAGAGAGTAAGAGCTTTGAATGCATACCGCTTAAAGCCTGGGTATTAATCCAATCTTTATAAGATGGGGCTTCGGCTGATCAACGCTACATCTCGTGGTGACACTTGACTTACTCTTGTTTAATCCGTACATACAGCATAACGTTAAGTGAAATGCGATATGCACAAATCAAGAACTGCTTTGCTCTCCTGCAGTCTCGTCCAATCCCAAGCCAGCCTCTTGGAGTGGTTAGTTTTCAAACCTTTCGTCAGCCTGAATTTCTCAGCGCCATCTCCACCCTCAACCACACTCAAACCATCCCTGACCAACCCATTCCCATTAATAAATGACTGAAATCCCATCCGACAGCATGCTAACCAAGGCCAAAGAGCAAGTAACCATCCCCACAGCTTCCACGGCCCTCCCGCTCGCCTACCGCCTGACCCTCCTCGTGCTCGAGCCCCTCAGGGCCCTCAACGGCGCCGTCATGACCTTTCGCGCGCCGGCCGATTACGTCGCGCATGTCACGCACAAGCCGGCGCTGTACAGCCCGGCCAATCAGTTCCTCTACATGCAGCTGGGCGGCGCCTGGCTCCTGTTTGCCTTCAACGAGGCCGTCGTCCTGCGCCTGGTCGACGACCTGCGCGTGTGGCGGCTGCTATGCTGGGGCATGCTCGTCAGCGATATCGTCTATCATGTCAGCTCGGTGCAGGCGGTCGGCGGGTGGGGGGAGTTTGTGCGGGTTGGCGAGTGGAACACATTTGATTGGGCTGTGTTTGCGTCAGCCGTGGTGCCCATGGTTGTGAGGTTGTTGGTCGTGGCCGGGGTTGGCGTGAAGACTAATAAGGTGGGTGAGAAGGCGAAGTAAGGGGTTTTCCGGTGCTGCTTCGGTCGATGTACCTTACCTGACGCATCTAAGAGGGGTAGCCGAGAGGATAACTTTTACATAGTTACATTATTTTGGGCCGCACTAACAGCCAGGATGGAGCGGTACTACGACCATGCTTCCTCTATTAAGATTGGAAGCAGCATCCTTCCTGGCGAAGGCCGGCGGCCCTTTGCACAATGCTTCAAGCGACATGACGTTGAACAGTCGGGGATGGCGTGAGTGGCGGACGGACTGAAATGGGCGGAGGCGGTGTCGGCTTCGAGCACAACCTGGAACTTACTGGAGACTTTGAAAGATGCGGCTACGGAGTAGACGGAGGAGAAGGAATGTGTCCAAGAAGAGCAGCCTGAGACCTGAAGATGGATGAGGAAGTATTTACTTAACAACTGGACATCGTCGGTGGAAGTTGTACTGTTGAGGCTCTGCGTCTTAAGAATCTCAAAGGACAAGAGGGCCTATGGCCGTTATACATCGTGACCATATACGGGCCACCATCCGGAGTTACCGCGTATCCGCCTCGACGCCTTACATACCGTTTGTCCCTGGCCGCCTTGCCTGAAACTGCCTTTTTCGCCGGCTCTTTGAATCAACCATTCTTGGGAGATCACAGTTCAGAAATTGCATATCCACACGCGGCAGGCAATTGAAACTTTAAAATGATAGTAATGCTGCCCATTAAGCTAAACATAAGCTACGGACGTCCCGCATATGAATTTCCACGTGCAGACGGGATGAAACGTTCATACATGAGAGATTGGTCTTCACTTAGGGAGGGCCGGGGGGTATTGTACATAAATGCTGTTTCCAGGACTCAAATCTACGAGCTTCCCATGAAGGAAGCTGGTTTCCGTTTTCGGAAAAACAGCAGGTCCTATGCGTTCGTACGCTCCTGGGATCATGGCGTTGTCCAACGGGGACTCCGCAGAACACAGCCCTTCTTTTTGGCCCCCGCAGCCAACGAGTGGTTCGCGAAATGCGTTGCATTGTTTGCATCCCAATGGCGGCCTGGCATAAGCGCTCCTGTTGGCGACAGGAGCCGCATGTGCACACGGCGACCCGGGAATCATGACACGCCAATTGCCAGTGGTTAAAGCTCTCCAGCTGGCCGAACGCCCCATACTCTCACCTCTTCTCTCACCGTGCTGGGGTGAAATTCAGCCAAGACCATCACCATCGACACACCATGGTCAGAGACGATACGTTGGGCTCAGCCTCAAACCTGGCCCTTGCCTTGAGGGCCGTTGGCGTCTTAAATCTCTCTCACGCTCGCTCGGTTCTTCTACCGCATGCATGAGGTTCGCACGCTGGTGCGCAAATTCCACAAGCAACATGGCGTGGGTCTCCATTTGTCTGAGACTTTTTGATCGGTGAACTGACAGATCGACAGGAAGGGGTTCCTCATTCTTACCTTCTCGGGCATCTGGCCGTGACGGGCAAGCTTTTGGGCCAGTATCCTGGCGATGTGTTCCCCAGCGGCATCTGCACGCTGGCGCTGCGACAGTTTCCGCATCTCGAGAAGAACGGCTTCATCCTTTTTGACGCCTGGCCCTTCATTGACCCGATGATCTACATGTTCGATCCGGATATATCAGCGCAGTTCACCCAGCTCCACTCGCTGCCCAAGTCAAAGGACCTCAAGTCCGAGTTCAGACCCCTCACGAGCTCCAAGGACCTAGTGACGCTGGACGGCCCCAAGTGGAAGTTTTGGAGGAGTGTGTTCAACCCAGGGTTTTCGACACCAAAAACCTCATGGCCATGACGCCCGCCTTCCTGGAGGAGGTACGGGTATTTGTTGACAAGTTCAGGGCGGCTGCAGAGTCGGGAGAAGTCCTCAAGATTGAAAGGCCGGCGACCAGCCTGACCATCGATGTCATTGCGCGTAGCGTCCTGTACGGGTTCGCCCTTTTCACCCTGCTCGGCATGGCAGTACTAACTTCCATATCAGGGGCACTCGGCTCATAGCCAGACAAGAGAGCATCCCCTCCAATGAGCCCTGAGCAAACAGATCTGGTGGCTCACCCCTGATTGCACACCTCCATCACTCCTCAAGATCTTGAATCCAATCCGGCCCATACTTCAGTGGTACTACAACTGCGTCATCCATAACGCCCTTGCTCCATTCATCCGCCAGAATCTTTCCACCCAAGCCGACGGCAGCACCGCCAACAACGAAATCAAGACCGTCCTCTCACTCGCCGCCAGAGCTTACCTTGCCGAAAAGCCCCAAACCTCCTCCACCCAGTCCAACCACGAGTTCGCCTCCCTCGCCATCCCCCACCTCGTCATGTTTCTTTTCGCAGGCCACGACACGACCGCGATAACACTCTGCTTTGCCTACCATCTCCTCCACAAGCACCCATCCGCCCTCGCCCGCCTGTGCGACGAGCACGACGCCGTCCTCGGGCCGGATCCGTCCCTCACCGAACCCCAACTGACCCGCAACCCGCAACTCCTCAACGCCCTCCCGTACACGGCAGCCGTCATCAAGAAAACCCTCCGCCTCTTCGCCCCAGCCGCCACCGTCTGCCAGGGCCAGCCAAGCTTTTATCTCACGCACCCGTCCACGGGCCACCGGTCCCGACCGAGGGCATGTTTGTGCACCAGAACTCGCACGCGACGCACCACCTTGCGTCCCTCTTCCCGCGGCCGTGGGAGTTCTTACCAGAGCGGTTCCTCGCGGCCGAGGGCGAGGAGTTGTACGTGCGCAAGAACGCGTTCCGTCCCTTCGAGCTAGGTCCGCGGGCGTGCATCGGACAGGAGCTGGCCATGCTGGAGCTCAAGATGATCCTGGTCGTGACGGTCAGGGTGTTTGACATTGAGAGTTATCCCAACGGTGCGCCGCCTGGTGGGCCCGGGCGGTTGGGGACCTATCCGGTTGGGCATATCACGGGGCATCCTAAGGACGGAATTGCCGGTTAGAGTAAGGTTGAGGGTGTAGCTGGGTGGGCTTGGGAGTAGAAGGACAGCGGAGGAAAAGTGGTGATTTATACCGGGGACACGAGGAGACTAGAGAATAAGGTCTAAAAATATGTATTACCATTCAACCCTACGGTCTCACCTACAAAAGGCCTCCCTTCCCCGGCAACGGGACCAGCCATGGCTCGGTGCAGAAAGATCAAGACCTCTGTAAGAAAACGACGTCCACCGCGAGGCTGCGGAGTGATAGGCTAAACCGACATGGTTGAGGATCGAGTGGCTCACAGGCTCCAATGATGCTACCCTTGTGCGTGCCGCAGCTCCCGCTGTACCTCCAGGCCAAATAAACAATTCCGAACGAGCTGTATCAACGGGACACGGACGAGGCACAAGCTGTAATCAGACGAAATTGGTTATGGACAAATGGACATCCGCCGGAGCCTCGCGAGGACAAGCAAGCACGACAACCGGCATCCATTACAGGTATGGATAGACCTATGTACACAGAACTGAACGCAGACTATGTATCACAGATACCTCCAGATCACATCCGGGTCGTGAGACATCCGCAACATTAACATGGCCTTTCATTCCCTTATCAAAATTCAGCCATTGCCAATTCAGACGCCGGCCTCCAGTTTCCAAGCGGAGAGGACGGAGACCTGACCGGATCACGACCAGTTTCACCCCTTAAAGGAAGGCAGCGACCAGACCAGCGACGGCGGCAATGCCCTCCACACCGCGAACGGCGCGGCCAGCACCGGCCGTGGCAGGACCCGAGCTGGAGGGCTTGACGGTGGTGCGGGTGGAGCTGGGAGGCACGGTGACCGAGGCGAACGAGGTCGTGGTGAAGGAGGGGTTGAACGAGGGGATGAACGACGGGTTGCTGGTCTTGGTGCTCGTGCTGGGCTCGTCGGTCACAGGGCAGACGGTCGTCGTGATGATGACCTCGGTGGTGATGATGGTGCTGTGGCTCGGGCACTTGGTCACCGTGGGCGCGCACGAGGTGATGGTCTTAGTGGTGGTCGTAGTAATTGTGCTCGTGGTATACTTGGTGGTAGACGTAGAGGTAGAGGGCGCCACAGAACCGGTGCCAGAGGAAGTGGAACTGCTCTCGGGCTTCTTGGTCGTCGTGGACGTCCCTGGGGCCTTGGACGTGGTGGACGTCTCTGGGGCCTGGGACGTGGTGGACGACTTAGTCGAGGTGCTGGAAGGCGGGACGGTGGAGGAGGCGCTGTAGGTGATGCACGAGCAGGCCGAGCTGACAGCCTTGACGTTGGAGTCGCAGTTGTTGAACTGGGTGGGGATGGCCGACGGAGCGGTGGTGGTGCCGGCGAGGAACTCAAAGCAGAAAGACTTGGCGTCCTCCTTGAAGCGCTCGTCGATCAGATTGCGGTAGCAGTTGTCCGACTCCTGTATTGACGGTTAGTCTCCCAACGGTATGGCCGTACAAGTACAAGCTGGTGAGAAGCCACTTACGCAATTGGGGTAGGTGTGAGCGCTGGCGAGCCCGAGGGCAACGGCGGCGAGAGAGAGAGTGAAGGCGCGCATGCTTGCGGTAGGGGGGTATGCTGAACGAGCGTAATCTGTTTGCAAAAATGCAGGCGGTAGCGAGCGAATGCGAGACCCGAAGGCTGATTAATGTATATACAGGTATCCGTGGTGGGGAGAGAGGAAAACAGAAGGAACACGGAGCTCGAGGCGGCGTGAGGTCTTTATTCACAGCTTCCCGCCACTCAGGGGTTGGGCGCTCAGTGATGGGCCGATTCCCCTGAATGACAGACGCCGAGCCAGGCCAGTCACCCGCACCACGCTCGCAGCGGCGGGAATACGAGGCCTAGTTTGTTTGCTCGTCAGGGCCAACGAGCCAGGGTCCCAAGGCCCACACGGGACGGGAGAAACGGCGAACCATCCATCCCCAGAAAGCTTGGGCTCCTGGATGGCGGCGGCCAAGAAGGCTGGCTCGCTGGTTAGCCGGGGGGCGCATAGGTGTGGAGATTGCGATCACAACCCAGCGCTTGAGCGCAACGGTAACGTGGCAGCAGAGGGGTGAGAGGGATGGATGCGGGCATCGAATCCGAGAAAAGTCCCTCGAGACTGGGATGCAGGAACCGACCAAAAGACTGAGAGGGTGTGGGAATTGGCTCGCGTGTGGGTCTGAACGGGCAGCTTGACGCAGGTACCGATACTCCGTACCAATGACATGATTCTCCAGTCAAATCGCTGTCATCGAGCAGGTTTTTGTCCTGTGCCTTCTAGATGCACCCTCCAGCTGGACAACTCGGTGCGAGCGATTCATTTTCTGCCACGTCCAATTTGGGAAGGCGAGGGCTGCCGCTAAGTGGCCAGTGAGGAAGACCCGCACCTGCGAATGAAGCCAACCACCGCAAATGGTGTGTCTCCGCGAGTTTTGATTGGATGAGCGGCTGCCGCCTCTGATCTCTGGCCCTGCAATGTCCCTCCGTTCCATCATTCCATGTGATCCCACGGGAAACCAGGGAAAGCAACAGAGGGATTGGTCTCCCCTTTGACTCAAGAAACGAGATCTACCGAACACGAGCTTACCAATTCTGCCTCGACGGCTCGCGTTTGTCCTTTTTTAAAAGAGTCTCGTTTTGTTGCCCTGAATTGCACAGAAAAGGGGGAGGATAATACTTGGTAGATTGGGCCCAGGATTAATAACGAAATCATCCGCATGCAGTGAAACACCACACCTAGCTGTGTGAGATGAAAGGGAAACTTGCAGATTGCTGACACAGGATTCGGGGCGCTAGTTATTTGATGCGCCGCTATCGCCACTCTCCGGGACATCGACCCGGTACAAGACGGCGCGTACCGCCCTGGCAAAGATCAATTTGTGGGGAGATCCATCAGGAGGGCAAAACGATTCCCTTGAACAACTCGGTGGGCGGAATGTCCAGTATATCGGTTATTCAATTTCGCGACTCTCCTGACTGCCTAGCTGCTCTCAGATACCGATAAGTTAAACAGCGACAGGATGTTTGATTTCTGTCTTCTCCTGTGTCCAGTCTTGCAGATATGGAATGCCTTCGGCTCACGTCAGATCCTCCTCGAACCTGCCCACCTTGCACACCGAAATGCCATGCATGCCCTGAGTAAAATGACGCTCGGTTCTAGGAACACGCATCTCCCGAAAGCGTCCTCACTTCCCAATTTCCCTATCCCGTATCGCCAGCTGTCGAGGACCTGCTCCAGCAACTTTTCATACGCTCAAGAGAGTATGGTAAAGTTCCTTTCCTCGAAGGGGCCAACAGCCCGAATTGAAAATGATCGCCTTGGGTTCAGTCATAAAGGAATACTTGAACTCCCAGAGAAAACATTGGCCTTTTTCCTGGGAACCTAATAATTATTATGCCGCTCCAACAGTTACGACGCAACAAGTCTTTCAACGGATAGATTCCTGATGACTTACCAGTGCGCGATCGTTCAAAGTTAACATTTTGGTCACGGAAGTCTTTGAAAACGGCCCATTGACCTCTCAATGTTACCCTGCGCGCAACCCTTACAATAATGCTGTTGCCCGAGTCCCGCGACATTGTGGGCTCATTGTGGCATTTCTGAGTGCCTCTGCTTGGGAACCAGGACTTCTTGGAACAAAAAGGAACTAAGTAAATCTCAAAACCCAGATCGCTTCCTCTAACCTGTAGTCTACTCAGCCTGTCATAACCATGACAAACGAAGAAACATCTCCCCAACCAGTGAGCCCAACAACTTCCAAATTCACAACCCCCGCTCCAACCTCGCTCCCCTCGGCGCGGCCCGGACCACCCTCCCCCGATCCAGCACAATCTCAAAATCCGCATCCTGCACCGCCTCGGCCTTGTGCGCAATAGTAATCACGGTGCTATGCCTCAGCTCCTCCCTCAGCAACCGCTGTATATACCCGGCCGTCTCGCCGTCAATCGACGCCGTCGCCTCATCCAGGATCACCACGGGGCTGCGCCGCAAGATGGCCCTGCCGAGACCAACCAGCTGCCTCTGGCCCTGCGACAGGTTCTTGCCTCCGCCGTTGACGCGACTGTCGAGCGTGAAGCTGCTGCCCGACCCGCCCAGCACGCGCGCGAGCACGTCCGCCCGCTCCGCCTCGTCGCGCTCGTCGAGCGGGTCGAGGTTGTCGCGCAGCGTGCCGGGGAAGAGTACGGGGTCTTGGGCGACAAAGGTGATGTTCCGCCGGAGCGCGTCCTTGTCCACGCTAGCGAGGTCGATAGCGCCGATGCGGATGCTCCCGCCCGTGTTTGGGTCCGGGTGAAGTGTGCCGAGGAGGCTGAGCGCAAGTGTGCTCTTTCCTGAGCCAGTGCGGCCCGTCACGGCCACGTTGGCACCGCCTGGGATGATGAAGCTCACATTGGTCAGCACGGGATCGAGATTGGGCGCGTAGCAGAGGGTGACGTTGTCGAAAACGATGTCATCGCCGTAATGCGGCCACGAGGCGGGCGGGCTGACGGTCCCACGGGGCTCCTGGTCGAGACCCAGCAGCTCAATGACGCGCTCCACGCTGACGAACTGCATCTGCATCTCGCCGTATTTGCGGCAAAGGCTGTGGGTGGATTGGACAAAGTTGGACGCCGAGGCAAGCACGAAGCCGACGGTGCCGCTGGACAGCCCAGACAGGATGGCGGTCAGCGTCAGGGCAAACGTGCTTACCGCCGAGAGCAGGTCAAAACGATACTGCAGCCAGGCTTGAAGACACCAGAAGAAGTGGTCGAACTTCTGGAACGAGTCGGTGCTCGCAATGATGCGGTTCTGGAAATGCGGTTCGGCGCGGAACGCTCGCACCGTCGTGAGTCCTTCAACGAGGGTGCCAAAGTTGGACATCAGCGGCGACAGGGAGACTGTCTCGAGCCGGCGGAGTGACTGCGAAGTGGGCAGGAAGCGGTCAAAGATCAAGACAAACATGACCGTCATGGCGATACTGATGACGAGAAATGAGGGCGTTACTGTGGAGATGACGGCCATCGATGAGAGCCAGCCGAGTGCGTACCACGCCACCGACATCAGCTGGCCCGCGATCTGCCCGTCTACCGTGCCCATGTCCGACGTCAGCCGGTTCATGAGACGCCCGACAGGCGTAACGTCGTAGAACCGGAATGTGGCGTTGGATACCCCATCCATAGCTCTCTCAAACAGGTTCTTGCCGGCTTTGTAGATGATGACTACAAGCGCCGCGTCCGAACAGACCTGGGTGAGCACTTGGCCAAGTGACAGGATCAGAAACCCTACGAGCCAAGGCCGCACATCGGTGCTCGGAGGAGGCAGGTATCGGCCCAAGTCCAACCAGTTTTGATCAGAGGCTGCGTTCCCCTGAAAGATACTGTGCGAGGTCACTGCATGTTGCAGATCCTCCACGTTTCCTCCGAAACCCGCAAAATGGACACGGTAGATGCCCCCCGGCCTGTCTCTGTACTGCTCGCCCCACTCCTTGAGAAACCAAAAGTAGCCAATCCTAGCGACGCGGAACAGGAGGAAGAAACCGATCATGGTAACCCACCAGCGCAGTCGGCCAGCCTTGACATACTGCCAGTACACCGAGGCCAGCACTCCCCCATGGGCGCGGTGCTCGTCCTCAATGAACTTGTCCGGAACCGGCTCAGCTTCTTCCCCAGCAGTCGCGCTGCCATCGTCCTCAGTGGCGTGTGCTGCGGCGCTGGCAATTTCTGCAAGGTGCTCAAGCTCTTCCCTGTTAATTTCCAACTCTTCCCTATCGAACGTCTCAACCCGGCCACCATTCGCAACCTCAATGACCTGGTTGGCATAGGGCGTAACGATGTCGACGCGGTGCGTGACCAAAATGACGAGCCGGCCGGCCGTCAGCGGCGAGTTCCTGTCTGCGAACAGGTTCCGCAAAATGGCGCTGGCAGTCTGATGGTCCAACGCCGCGATGGGGTCGTCGAGCAGCAATATGCGTGCCCGGCTGTAGATGGCCCTGGCCAGAGCAACACGAGCTTTCTGACCGCCAGACAGGCCCACGCCGTTCTCTCCTATCAACGTAAGGTCCTTGCACCTGAACTTGTCCAGGTCGTCTCGCAGACAGCAAGCATCAAGGACTTGCTCAAACCGGGTCTTGTCATACCCCGTCGAGAACAGAATGTTCTCCCGGATGCTCATGCTCTCAAGCCAGGGCGTCTGGGCGCAGTACCCGATCATCTCGCGCGGCACTGTCCGTTCACCGCCGTGCTGATCCAGCTCCCCAAGAATCGCCTGCAACAGAGCCGTCTTGCCGATGCCCACCTTGCCACAGGCAAGCGTTAAGCCCGGCTTGCACACCACCGACACGTCCTCCAGCACAACCTTCGCCGACCCTGGCCAAGAAAACGACGCCTCTTTCAACACGATCTCCAACCCCCCAAGGGGCCCAATGTCTTGATCTCGAGCACCACCACCACCCATCAAATCCCCATCCAGGTCCTCCTTCTCCGGCTCCAACATGAACGCCTCAATCCTCGCCATTGCCACCTTCGCGTTCAGCAGTACCGTAACCAAATCCGGCAGCTCCCTCAGGCTATTCTGCAGCATGGCAAACAAGTCCAGCGCCGGGAACGCCACATCGACCGTCAACGGCCTGCCACTCAGCACTGTGTACGCCCAGAACGCGGCTACTGGAAACAGATACGCCGCGAGCGAGTTCACCGTCGCAATGGCCTTGACGACGACATTACTCTGCACTCGCCTCGCCAGCTCGGCCCCGCGGCTCTCCATGACGGAGCGCAGCCAGGCATCCTGCCAGGCATACCACCGCAGATGGCGAATGGCCTCGACAAATTCGCTCGTGCGCTGCAGCTTAGCGTCGGTAAGATCGCGGCGGACGCGCTCGACGCGCAGGAGCAGGCGCGTGAGCAGCACGTTAAGGGCCATGCCGGCGAGCAGGACCAGGACGCCCGAGAGCGAGGCTGGGCCGAGGATGCGCCAGACGAGGACGAGCGAGAGGAGAAAGCTGAGGGGCCTGGTCGTCAGGTTCGGGGCTTCCCAGAAGCGCTGGGCGACTTCGTAGGCGTCGTTGCGGAGGATGTTGAGGATTTTGCCTGTTGATGCCGGGGACGAGGAGGTGGGTTCTGGAGAGGAGGGTGGTGCTTGGTTGGATCTGAGATTTGTGTACCGCCGATGGATGAGGGATTTGAACCTTTGGAACTTGGAACGCTCAGGGGGGTTAGAATCTGTGTCGCTGTCGTGATTGCTAGACTCGTCGTCGGTGAGCGTTGTCGCAGTGGAGATGCCGGCCGAAGGAGAGGTCTGCTCTTCCGGTGGCTCCTGTCGGCGCTCGTCACTGCTGGGAAACGTAAAGGCCTTCCTACGAAGGGTCTTCTCATGTATCATGGTGATCATTTCACCTCGAGCCCGCTCATAGTTGCGTCGGCAGTACCACAGACTGAACACCCCCGACTGAGTTCTGATCAGCCTCGCGAACAGGGTAATTGCGGCGTAAACGAGGGCGGGCCGGATGCCCGGCTGCTCAGAGGTCAACACGGCGAGCAGTTGTTTGAGCAGCACAGGTTCGGCGAGCTCGAGCAACATCTCGAAGACCCCGAGCGCGGTGGTGATGATGATATCGAGACCATTGGCCTTCAGCAACCTGACGAAGACGGTACCAGTTATTTCCCGAAACAGCATGTGTAACCTGTTGTGCTGAAACTCGTATGAGAGAAACCAGACATCCTCGTTATGGAGCTGTCTTTTGTAGCCAAGGTTGATAAGAGGCGCCATCCAGGAGATCGTCATCCACTGCCAAAGGGTGATCATGTCTTCGGGGCTGCGGGCGGTATGGGTTGGTTCAGCAAACGGCTTGCCGATACTAGTGCTGTCTAGTAAGGGGTCCCTCAGGGGCATGTTGAGCATCAGAACGAGAGATACTAAGGGCAGACAAACCCCCGCGGCCCAGGAAAGGGTCCGCGGTGAGTTCTCAGAGGAGACATTTGGTCCATTCGGTATGAGTGTGAGAACGATCGATTCTGTAAGAAGAAGAACGCTGTTGATGAAAAAAACAGCCCCGGGAACGGTCCTGGGGCGCTCAAGAACGAGTATCAGACAAGAAATGAACTGTAACAGTCTGGTCAGCAAGTCGGGACTGCGCTAAAGTGGTTCGGAGCCTTACATTTGGAATGACAGAGGCCAAGCAAAGTTGAGCGTACTCTGGCCATACCGCGGCACCAACGCTCCCCAAAGCAATGGCACCCACGCTCAACAATAAAAGGGAAAACGTCCAAGGCGTCCATGACTTGCCAGCCGACGCTGTGCCGGTGCCGGGCTCCAGGTCAGACACACTCGGCGGGGATGCGTCCTTCTCGGCTGCGAACCTGCGCAGCCAGACGGGACGGTAGGCGTTCCATAGAGAACGGGCGCCATAGCGGATAGCAACTGTCACGATGGCAGTCCAAAATGGGATGTGGCCGAGGACACCGAGGCATTGGGGGCTAAACTGTCCCAGAGAAGGTAACTGCGGGAGTAATGCGTGTCAGCGTGGGGTGGCCGGTTCCAATCTGGTGTAACTCAGAAGCTTACCCAGATCTGCCGGCAGCAGCTGCAACAGGGCCATAAGGCGTCCTGCAATCCGGGGTTGAGCGAGGTGACCGCCATGGAAAGACCTAAGGATGTCCAGACCGAAACGATACTTGAGAATTCGAGACGTTGAACATGAGGAAAACAGTGTGTCTCTACTCAGAGACACGACAAGGGGTATAAGAGGTGAAGGACCTTGGGATGCCATGAAAACTGCCGGCGGGCGGATCCTGGGGACCCGTCATCGGAGACGCCCCTCGACCTTGTCCTCCGCCTTCACCGACAACTGGAGAGAGAAAAAAAGACGCCATCCACAGGAGGGGGATAAGAGAGCGGATACTGTGTATTAGCACCCTGCAGCCAAGGGAGGACTACCGGAAGCTTGTTGATCGACTCAGTCTGCCCGCGCGGGGTTTGTTCCGGACGACATCAGTTCAATGGCCCGAATGTGTGGGACGTGGATAGAGGGGTTGCGGAGATGGTCCAGATGCAGGCAGGTGTCTCGGGAGGGATACCCGGGCGACATCTCATTGTGGCAGCGGGCAGTCAGCATTCGAATGGTAGGGGTCGCAGTGTCCACATGGCCTGCACCTGCTCTGTGTGCCAGGCCGATCCGCCACCTTTTGATGAGTGCCTGCAGATGCCGTGACACTGTGACGGAGACAAGAAATCGTCCTTCCTCCTCCCGTCCGATGCTCCTCAGATTGCATGCTGCAGGTTTGCGATGGAACCAAAAACCTCGCATACGCTGGCGAGTTGTGATGGTCAAATCAGGGTATTCGATTCAAAACTCCAAAGGCTTTCTGGCATGCACCCATGTGTCCCGCCAGTCCGTTTCCCACCAAGCGCCAGACACTTGTCCTTGTGACCAGACAAAAAAGAAAGAAACCCACGCCCCAAAACCCCACGCCGAAAGAAGCAGCCAAGTCAACCGGCAACAGTGGGGTTTGACCGCCCCGCCAGAGGCCCAAAAACGCACATTGAAGCATCGCCGCCGCCATACCTGATTACCAAATTCGCTCCAAGTTCACGAAAACCCAATCCGTTTGGCTCACCGCCGCTTCGTTCATCAATGATGCAACCCCCCAGCTACCTCGAGGTCTGGCTCCATCCGGGCCCGGGATGCTGCTGCTGCCCAGGGTTGTAGGCCTGATACTGAACACTGGCCGGCTGCGCCGTCGTCACAACCGGCGACCCTCCCATCTCGACTGGCGCCAGTGTCGAGCCTGGTGGGTGCAGCTGGGCTCCGTCCAATTCTTGGACCGGCGGCGGGGGTGACGGCGCCAATGCCCCCCCGGTGAAAGTCATGGACAGGTGCGCCGGTGATTCCCAATTGAAGCCGCTGTTTCGGAGGTCGGGGGAAGTGCCCCAGTCCTTCTTGGGCCAGCCGCCCGTGTCCGGAGGGCTGCCGTAATATGCCGTCGACTCAGTCGCGGCAGGTGCCGTCGAGAGATGGCCTTGCGTGTGTTGTGGGAGCATTGGGTGCGACTCCTCGCCCGCCTTCCCCCTACGCCGGAAGAGGAAGTATATAACGCCGCCCAGCACTGCAAGGCCCCCGATTGCCCCTGCTACAATACCAGCCAGAGCGCCGGTGGTCAGCGCTGAGCTCCCCCCCGTGCTCCCTTGTCCCTGTTGCTCATCGTCCTGAGACACTGTCTTAGCCGGTCCTGTTGTGGTCACCGTGCCCGTAACTGTAGCTGTCGTGGTTGCGCTATCTGAGGTTGTCTCGCTGGATTCGCTCGTTGTGCTAGTTGGCCTCGTGGTTCGCGTGGTAGTTGACCGCTTCGAAGATGTCGTCGTTGTGGCACCATTTGCGGCCTCCATGAACTCGTCTTCAGTGATGCCAATCGGGGTGCTCGTGGCGGCGCAGGCGTCGCGCATTGTCTGGTAAACCATTTTCAGAACATTCGGGGACGACTGGCCGATACAGGCAGCTGCGGTGGTGATAAAGTCGCCACCATTTCGGCAGAAGCACGAGTTGGTGGCCTCGACGGTGCTGCTCTTGCACTTGGAGCTGGTAGCCGCCTGGTACAGGCAATCTTGGGAGTCTCCCGGATAGAAGCCGAAGTTAACCGTGTCATCTTGGGCTCGCGTTGCCGAGACGAGAATCAGAGCAACAAGCGCAGCCGGGAGAAGCCGTGTCCTTCCAAGGCGGACCATTGCGTCCTGTAGGTTGGCGTCGGCGGTAGGTGGACGCCCCGGTTTCAATCGCACTGGCCGTCAGCTGGGATCTTGGACAGGTCGCGCGAAATCACTGTTGTACGTGAGACGGAGAGCCTCGGCCGCCGTGTGGACTTCAATACCAGCCGTCGACAGATCGCTCCACGTCAGAGACGGCGGGATGCGATATTCGGGCGCATTGAAGACAAACAATACCAGCGCGACACTATTCGATGGAGGCTGGATAAAAAGCAAGCAACACTGAAATCCAGCAACTGGGGTCCGGGATATGCCCTGCTTGTCCCCGGCGACCTGAGGCTGAGCCCAGCCAACGGGAGGCGGGTCCAAACATGGCCTGGCGAGTTTCTTGCATGTAGTTAGCGCGAAAATCATCCCTCTCATTGTGGAAGCCTGCGACAGAGCCTCGCTCTTCATTCCAATCAGCCCGGCTCAGGTACCGTATGGAATTAGGTCAAAGAGAAGCACCGGATGAGAATGCGAGATTGTGTTTGCCGGAAGCCGATAAATTCCGCTTCTTGATTGGTGTCCTGTGATGCCATCTCGTCCCATCTCTCGACTGTGGTCCAACGACGGGGCGCTTGATCGAGGATGGGGGACGGGAAGCGGGTCCGGCACTCATGCTGACAACCCTTGATTTTCCAGCCCGAATTCTCTAAGACAGTAGGACCGTGACCGGGCTGACCGTTGGTTCCTTCAATTTCACCGTTGATGGAAATCCTCCAGGCACCCAGACTCGGACATGCGCCGCGCCCCCGGCATACCGCCCAGAAGGATTTGTTGATACTGTAGAACAGGCTCAGCCCGGGCCGTGGTGGCGAGACTTCCATTCATCAATAATCAAGCAGATCATCAAAAACAGAAGATGCAGCCAGAGCTGCCAAGCCACGATTACCTTGGCAGCCACCTCATGTTAATGCCCCGCATGCGGCTAGTCTTAGGCTATTTTTGGCGCCTGCTGTGCGTGTCTTGAGCGGCGTTCTTTCAGTCGGATTTGTGCACTCTCAAGCCTCAACAACAGTTTTCGAACCCCTTGCTGCTTGCCGTCCCCAGGAATCGAACAATTTGGGTGGGAAGCGACAGTGGTGCAAGACTTGGGTCGTCTTCAGGTCTCGAGTTGTGAGCAGCTAAGAGTAGCTCCCGCCGAGACCGAGACTTAAATCACTCGAAAAGAGGGAAAGCTCAACACTCATCAAACGGTTATCACATCGCTGAGGCTGGCAGGGTCTCGCACAATAAACAGCCTGGAGGTCAATGCGTCTTTCACCGGGTACTGCGTGCCGTGGAGGAGTATGAACGAGCAGAAAGACGAAGAGAAGAAATTCTTTCCACGGAAATTAAGTTGACGAAGAATTGTCAACGTTGACTTTGAGAATCCCTCGATCAGTGGGCCCGTAGATGATTGGCTGGGGTAAGCCTGGGAGTGAGCGGACAGGTCGCAACTTGCAGGGTCTAGCTGAACAGTGTGAGTGGCTGATTGTTGTTTCTAGCCATAAGTTGCTCTTTCATTGAAAGAGGAAGTCACCGATGTCATGACTGTGGGATGACGTAGCTGCACAACCCTCCGTTTATGGAAGCGACGGTTAAGCACTGGGATCAATTACTACCAAAAGCTTCATCTTGAATCTCGATGCATTACCAGTGTCTTCCGGAATTGTAAAGCTGAAACGAAACTGGAATTATACCAGAGAGTTCGGACACTTAAACACCTTGAATACAAACCACCGTTGAAGTTGATAAACATGGCTGCCCCCGGCGGAAAAGGCATTGCCACCACCAACGAGGTGATCGAGAGTGCCTTAATTAGGGCCCCTCTTTCGCATGTCTGGCACTTCATCAAGCTGCCCGAGTTCCACAAGTTCTGGTCCGCCATTGACAAGGCCGAGCATGTCAAGGGCACCAGCAGCGAGACGGATGTGGTTAGGTGGACTTTCAAGGACGGCAGCGTCGTCGAGGTCAAGCAGGACGAGCACAGCGTGAGCATTCTTCGCCGTTCTTATGGGGGCTAATGTTCTTATCGCGCTAACATTGCACAGAACCTCGACCACTTCATCACATACAGCGTCATCAACACGGAGCCCGAACTGACGTACTCGAGCGTTGTGAGCACTATCCGCTGCTGGCCCGTGACTTCTGGCGAGTTCGAGGACTGCACCTTTGTTCGCTGGACGTCCAAGTTTTCCAGTGATGCCGACATTGGTAAGCTGTCGCCCGTCGAGCTCAGGTGGTATTGGGGGTGTTGAAGCTGACTGCCTCGAGGTGTTCTCGAGGATGCCAAGTACAAGCGTCGTGACGCTCTCAAGGACCTCGGGATGGCAGCCGCCAAGATGGTAAAGGAGCATGCCAAGTAAGAGCTGGAACTCAAACATGTTCTCCAACGTGCTCTCCAACGTAGGGTTGCTGCTCGGACATGGAGAAAATGGTCGTCCATTCGAAGATGACAAGAAAGCAGCTGAGAGGTGGTGTGAGAGGTGGTGTGAGAGGTGGTGTGAGAGGTGGTGAATCACTCGAGTCTGAAGTTTAGCCATCAAATATCATCGAGATCTTGTAATCACAAGCCTTACGCGTGGTCTTCTCAACTTCACCAAGCCTCTAGAGTTGGATGGACATAATTAGTATCACTGGTTGAATCAACCGGGTTCCAAAAATTTGGAGGTGCGTTACCAAAGAGGTAGAGCAACGCCTTCATTAACTGTTGATTTTCCATGCACGCTCCGCCGCTTCGGTACATCAGATAAGATCTTCAGGTGCAAGTGTATCAAGCTAGCACCCGCCATACTTTCCCCCCCCGGACGAAATTTGAAGCTTCAAGCGAGCAAGACGGGCAACTAAACAAACTGTGGTTTCGGAATTCAACGATCAATCCCTTCCACTCTCTTCGCATCGCACTCCTTAACCGACCGCCACCATTAATCGCCGTAACTCAACCTCCCAACAAACGGCAATAACCCATCATGTCGTCGTACATCGTCTATCCCTCCGTCATGACCACGGGCAACGTTTTCGTTCCTCAGGTGACGACCTACACGGGGTAAACACAACGTCGCCTCCCCTAATAACCCCGAATTCTGCCTTCACAACCATCGATTTCTTTCCTGGCCATATCCTTCCTTTTAGTATCTACTGCTATATAGTAACACCAGCTAACCCAACGGCAACAAAAACGAAGATCTCAAATTCCCGCTCCGCCTCCCCCTCCGCCCCCTCCACCTCCTCCCTCACCAATCTTCCTCCCGACAAATGCAATCACCTTCATCGGCGGGCCGCCCGCCCCGCCTCCGCCTCCTCCTGCCCCCGCGCCTGCCCCCGCGCCTGCGCCCACGGCAATCTGCTTCGGCATGCCAGTGCCGACCGTCACGACATTTGCGATCTACGCGCTGCCGCCGCCTCCGCCTCCTCCTCCTCAGCCTGCTCCGGCCGCGCCTGTGGTCACGATGGGGCTGCCTTTGAGGCTTGCGCCCTAAGATGGTCAGTCTAGACTGGTTGCGACACAGGGGTTGTGGTTAGGCAGATATTCTTATTCATTTTTGGGGATGGGGCCTGGCGGATCCGGTGAAGAGGAATTTGGAGGTATGTATGTGTATTCTGACCGGGGGTTGGGTTATGGGGCGTGTGCTGATTTGTTGAAACTAGGTCAGGGAGGTTGGCTAGAGGAAGCATCGCTTTATTCTTTGGCAAGGAGGAGGTGATGGGTAAGCCAGAGTTTGCGATCAGGGAAGGAAGGCATGGAAATATCTCCGGGCGAAGGGCTCGACGGCTACCTGGTGTGCATATTCTTCGGAGAGCTAAAGCAAGTCGGCCCAGGTGACGTGGTGCGATGCTAATCAGCCTTACGATCATGGTTTTGTGACGTTCTGAGTTGCTGGTGGGAGTGTGATTTCCTATCCATCATGGAGCACAACAGTTGCCTCGAATGGTAAGATTGCTTTAAGCATTCCATTCCCCTTGCTTTAGCTCCTAACCCGGTTCCCGTATTATTCTTTAATACCGGTACGTACTTACCCTGACTCTTTAATCATGCTGCTGATACAAATATGCTAAGGTAAGATTCCTGGCGGCAAAAGAAGGGGCACAGCGTGATCGAGAGGGTTCCATCGGCAACGTGCGTCTAATGCCTCAGAACGGAATGGCAAAACCCACCATAATTATTAGCTGGTACTTTTCCGCTGTCTCATGATGGGATGTCAGAATTGTGCGGCTCGATTCGTTTTCTGTTGCACCAGCTCCTGACAAATACCTAGACAAAATCAGACCTCTCCCTCCCTCATTCGCAGCAGTCTAGGGCCTTAGGCCTTAGGCTGCCCGCCACTCCCAGCCGCAGGATACAGCACCACGGTCACCATAGACCTCGACGGGACGTTCACACTGGCGAGGCCATCCGTCAAAGTTGGCCTCCAACACGCCGATATCTCTCGTATTGTCTGTCACCCACGCCTTAGCCGCCGCCATCCCGTTGCTCCCGGCAACCTTCACCCCAACCTTGGCCGCATTCCCGCTGTTAATCACCACCACCGCAACAGACCCATCCACATTCCGAAACCCAGCCGTCCTCAAACTGCTCCCGGCACCCGAAACCGCCACCCGCACCGCGCCGGGGCGCACAAACCGGCTCCACTGGCCCAGAGCCCACAGCCGCTTGCTCGCCTCGACCCGGGTGTTGGGGGCGGTGCCGGCAATGTGCACCATGTGCGAGTTGGTGTTGCCGGCCTGCACGCCGATCCAGTACAGGTAAGCGGACGCGTTGGCGTTGACGAGGGCCGTGTAGACGTTGTTGGCCCAGGTCCAGCCCTCGCCGGCGCTGCCGCGCGAGTACCACGCCGAGGTCCACGCGCCCTGCAGGTCGGCGGCTTCGGTCTGCCAGACTGGCTGGCGCGCGTTCATTGGGGAGGACGGTTGGGATGTGTCTGGTTTGGAAGGTTAGGGGTGATGTTGTGTGTTGACCAGGTGGGTGCTTTCCAGTTCTTCAGGGATGTGAGGGCTGTGCGCTGTGTGGAAAAGGGGGCAGTTGTTTTCAGGGACAGGGTGGGATGACGACAGAAAGGAATCTCTCGAGTGTTAGGGGAGTGAGAAGAGGGGGTACCTACAGCTGTGAGCCTAACCAGCCCCAGCATGTTGTCAACCGCACGCAGGGAGCCGAGCATGCTGGCTTGGGAGTTCCAGCCTTCGGTGTCGCAGCAGGCGATGGCCGGCTTCGTGGTGAGATTGGATTTGGCGATGGTCGGGTGCAGGACTCGGATGAACTCTGCCGCCTGAGCGGCTGTGAACCGCATCGAGGCGTAGCTTGTCCTGGCAGGGAAAACGGTGGTTAGGGCGGAGTGAGAGATCGAGGTTAAAGGCTCGAGACGTACGTCAGCTCGGGCTCGTTGATGAAGCCCAGATGGGTGATTGTCACATTAGACTTGTCACATTAGACTGCTGGCAGAACTGGACATATCTGGTCAGGTCATCATTAATTAGCTCCTGCTCTCCTTCCAGGTGAGTCCTCATACGAGACAACAGACTTGACAAGGTAGTCCGCATAGGCCTGCCGCCAATCTCCGGTCGAGCACCTCGCTGCTCCGCTGAGACCGCAAAGAGTCCCGCCATTGGCGTCGTTACCGTTGGTCTTCATGTATCCTGGTGCGCTCCAGGCATCGGCGTAGATGGTCTTGACACCGTACGTGTGCACAGCCTCCTGCGACACCCAAAGCTGCTTGTTGTCTGAGCCATCCCACGCGTAGTTCAGGGGTTTGCTGGGCGAGCCAGGATTCTTTGGCGCAATCGAAACCATGTGGTCGGAGCTCATGTCCGGGGAGGACCCTATGCCGTTACGCAGGATGGAGAGACCCGCGCCGTTGGTGGTGCTGAACAGCATGTCCAGGGCGCGCCGCTGCTCCGACACGGGGAGCTTGCTCATCTGCACTGCGCGCTGGAAGGCCTGAGAAATGCCGAACCCGTCAATGTTCTGGTACGTCTTGGACAGGTCGACGGTGATGGTGGTTCCGGACTGCCGGTGCTGGAGTGCTCGGGCGGCATGACTGCTTCCATCTGGCTGGACTCGGCGCTCGACAACGGGGCGCACTGGACCGACCGCGTCAACAGCGGCTCCGACGCAGAGGAGGCGGCGAGCAGTGAGCGAAGCATCGTATTACAACCTCTTCAAATGTGTCTGTTTGTCGGTTCTGGAAAGAAAAAGGAGGTGATGTGAAGCTTGCAGTTCTCTGAGCTGGGATTGTAAGGTGCTTTGGCGTAGCCCCTGAGTCGATTACAGGAAGCCTGATGACAAGATGGGAGACGTCGGTATATAACCATCCGCTTAAGGACTAATATGCTTTTGTTGTCCTTTTAAACCCCCCCTTCCCCCCCTGAGAGGCATCATCATCGAATTGAGCCGCAAGTTGATCTTCTCATCACCAGATCAATCCTTTCGAGTTGCCAGCCCCATGGAATCCTGTTCTTGGAGTTCTAGGGAATGCAGGGTCATTCCCAGGGCTTCACCTAGAAGGCAAGTACCGGCTAAATGCCGTACAACAACAGCCCCTTGAATGGACAAGGCTGATTGCCATGCGAACCTATCGGGCATTTGCACCGGTAGTTGGGACAATTTGCGAGAAGCACAGTGTGACGGGGATATATTCTCTGCGTGGTGAAGCCCTCTTGTTCCTGAGAATCAACAATACCGACGGTGTTTGAATTTGCCACCTATCATAGAATGGACCTCGCCAGCGGTATGGCTTGCTGCCGTCCTCTCCATGAGATGCCAACGTACGATGATGAGTTTGTTACAGGGCAACTACGCTTGAACGTGGCCGATGACTGGGAGAAATCGAATCACAAAAGGATCAAAGGCGCGGGGAACGAATCAAAGGGACAAGTAATAGCTCGAGGTACTGTATTTCCGGCTGTCCATATCGTGACAAGCCTTGGACAGTCAGGCAGCCAGCACCCAGACTCAGGATTTGGTCGACACCTCAATTGTTATCGATCAAATAAGGACGGGAACTGAGGGCCTGTTGAAAGTACCTTACTGTAAAAAATGTAGGCGTACGAACCCTAAAACATCAACTGGTATCCCGGGAGACGACGAAGGGCACTGTAAACCTGTAAACAGATGGTCAGGGGTAAGTTTCAGTGATATGCAGGGGTTCGAAACGGTGGAAGGAGCCCTAACCCTAGCGAGCTATTGCAGTCAACTGCCCCATTTCCCACAAATCTTGGCAATCGGCGATAAGGGATTTGCTATCCATACCTCCGCGACGATGGAGAATGCGCTGCGATCCGTGGATAATCCGTACCTCAGCACCCCGTGCACCGGTATCTCCGCGTTCATCCCTTGAACACAGCAGACACAGCCGCACACGTCTGGGTCTCTCGTCGCTATCCCAGAGCTTGGCCTGGTTGACGCATATCCTGTCGGACTCCTTTGAGTCCGAGGTGTGGGCACACCAAACTGGTCAAAAGGATTGTGGCGTCATCCATCGGGCCCATATAAGATCCTGCTCCTATTGTTGAGCGGCACAATCGGAACTCCAAGGCTGCCTCCGCCGAGTAAAATGAAACCGTTTGCGACCAGAATCAGCCGATCGTTTGTGTCTCGATCGAAGCCCGCTCCGACTGTTTTGCGCGCCTCTCTCTCCGTCTCGACTGTTGCTGCAGCGGCCGCATCCATGGCCGCCTACTCGAGCGTCGTCTCCAAACTGGAGGCCGCCGCGGATATCCCCGAGGAGGCACGTCTCGCTTCCCACCACGTCAAGGGCAGGGACGGGAAAACTGTCAAGTTCCGCAACCCGCACCCGTCCGCCGGCGGCCCGCCACCTTCCCCGCTGGCCATGGGCCCCAAGATATTCTGGTACGAAGCAAAGCTCCCCGGCTTCCCGACGTTGCTGATACCAATAGGACCGTCATAACAGGTGGCATGCCCTGGCCCAACGTCTCGAACGTCAAGATGCCCGTCGTCAAGCCCAACTTCCTGGCGGGGCGGACAGAATCCACAGCGTTGCGCGCCACCTGGCTCGGCCACGCATGCTATTTCGTCGAGTTCCCCGGCGGGCTGCGCGTCCTGTTCGACCCCGTGTTTGAGGACCGCTGCGCCCCGACACAGTGGTTTGGCCCCAAGCGGTACACGCCGCCGCCGTGCCCGCTCTCGGAACTGCCCCCGGTCGACGCCGTGGTGATCTCACACTCGCACTATGACCACCTCTCGCACAGCAGCGTTCAGGAGCTCGCCAAGCGGAACCCGAAGGCGCAGTTTTTCGTCGGACTGGGGTTGGAGAAGTGGTTCCGGTCTTCCGGCATCGCGAACGTGACCGAGCTCGACTGGTGGCAGGACGCAGACCTGGTCCTGCGGAAGGAGGCGGACGCGACGGCGGGGAAGCCGGGCCATGCCGCCACGGATGACAACGCCGGCGCGCCAGACACCATCTCGGCGCGCATCACCTGCCTGCCGTGCCAGCACTCGTCGGGCAGGACGGGCGCGGACCACGACACGACGCTGTGGGCGTCATGGGCTGTCAAGTCGGGCGGCAAGTCGGTTTGGTTCGGTGGCGATACGGGCTACCGTAGAGTCCCTAAGCTTCCGGTGGGCGTTGACGACTACGGGCCGGAATACGACTCGCTGCCGCGGTGCCCGCAGTTCCGCCAGATTGGCGAGCTGCGGGGCCCCTTCGACCTGGGCCTAATCCCCATCGGGGCGTACCACCCGCGGTGGCTCTTCAGCTACATGCACGCCAACCCGTACGACGCTGTTGAGATCTTCAAAGAGACGCGGTGCAAGCGCGCCATGGGCATCCACTGGGGGACATGGGTTGTACGTCAAATCCCCTCTTTTTTAGCCTTCTAAAAGATGTCTCGGGAGCTTTTGCTTCCGAATTAGTCTTGAGGCACGCTCTGATATGCATGAACTAACTGACATTGGCGAACAGTTGACGAGCGAGGATGTCGAGGAGCCTCCCAGGCTGTTGAAGGAAGCGCTGCGGACGAGCGGGATCCCCGAGACAGGTGTCTTTGACGTCTGCGCTGTTGGTGAGACGCGCGCGTTTTGAGGCGACGTTGACTGGCAGCCTTCGGCCCGATTCGGTCGACGCTTGTGAGACGAGAGTCGAGTTGGGGAAGTTTCCCTCAGGGCATAACCCTGGCGACTGCATCCTTTCCACCGGAAGCACATCTCAACCGCCGCATTATGCTTTCTCATAGCCTCCACAGATACCCCATATCTAGTTTCGAATCCTTGTGTAGCCCTGCCCCACCCCACTGTGGCTCTCTCCAGACTGTGTATCTCAACGGCCTGGTCTGGAACGGCAGATCATGCCTCACAACGGTCCCGCCGCGCTGGGTCGAACCCACCAATCCCCACACGGACATCCCCAGCCGATCGGGCGAGCCCACCTCGAGCCCACTTACCGTCCGCTCCCGCACCGCTACTACCCCCACGGGGAGTCCAGATCGGCTCTGTCTCCACTTGGCTTGGGGATGAAACCCTCCGGGCCCCGGATATCTCGGCAATCCAGGTTGAACCAGGATAATACCAACAGGAACCACTCACTCATGCAATTGGGTGTCACAGTTGTAGTTCATCGTTGTCTCGGTAGAGGCTCTAGTCGTTCCGTCAACAGAGAGTCTAACATGGGAAACAATGGAAACTGTCTCGTATGTACTATTGAGGATCAGATACTGAGTCCCTACAGATACCCGGTATCCCACAAACTTGAACCCTCCCCGTAGATATTCGTAACTCCTATCCCCCGTTCAATCATCAACAGGATTCAGCACCATCACCACCCACGCAACCCTCCCCTCCCCATCCTTCAACGGCGCCCACGTACTCACCACTCTCCTCAACTTCCCACCTTGCCCACCCGAAAACAAGACCTGACTAAAGAACTCCGCCCCACGATCCAGCGTGCCACTAACCCTAGGCTTTCCCTCCGCATCCCCTTCCACCGCAGTAACACCACCAGCAGAAGCAGTAGAAGCAGTAGAAGACGCCGCTCCCGCCGCACAAGAAGAAGAAGCCGTCATCAAATCAACCGTGACGCCCTCCCCCCGGGCAAGCCGACCCAGCACGTCCGCCCGGAACGCGGCGCGGTTGAAGTTTGGTGAACCGAGCTGCGACGCCAGCACGGCGAACACGTCGCGGTCGAGCACGCAGTGCGACTCCTCGTTGTGATGCGGTGGTTTCAGGCCCAGCAGGGACAGCGCCGAGGGCGAGCAGAAGGTGATGGGCAACTGCGGGGCCGCCGGTTGGTGGCGCTGGCCACGGTGGTCGCGTGCTGGTGGGGGGCGCCGGTCTGGCTGGAGGCGGCGGCGGCCGTTGGTGCTTGGGGGTGGTCTGGATTCGGGGTTGTGGTGCCTGTTGGTGTTGTCGTCGTTGAAGCGCATGACGAGGAAGCGGGAGTATGGAGTGCTGTGCTCGACTGGGTGCTGGTGCGTGAGGTGGTCATGGTCGTGGTGGTGGTGATGGGTGTGATGGCGGCCGAAGCTGAGGTTCAGGGGCGGGTAGCAGCGCGGGGAGAGCGATTGCTGGGTGCTGTCAGCGCTGCGCTCCGATGCTACGCTCGGCCGGCGAGACGAGGACGGAGTGCGAGAAGAAGCAGGTTTCCGATTGAAGCGGCGGAAAAAGCGATGGCGGCGCGAGGTTGGCTTCTCGTCCTGCTCGTCGTCCTCTGGGGGCTGGTTGTCGGCACTTTGCCGCCGTGACCAGCTCGGGGACGATGGCGATGCCGGCGATCGCGCAGGGTATGCGTCTTCTGGCATCGGGCCAAAGTTCAAAACGTCCATGACATCTTTGTACCCAGCGTCCATGTGCTCTGAGATGTTGACTTGGGCACCCAGGAAGTACCGCACGCTTCCATGTTCCATCAGTGGGCAGATGAACAGCAAGTTCCAAAACGGGGTCCCGTCGGGCCGGTAGTTAAGGATCAGCTCAGTGGCGTCGCTGCCCGCCGAAATGGCTCGGCTGAGTCGCGTCGCCGCCTCAGGGTCGGTAGCGAACCCCTGGAGAATCCGGCAATTCTTCCCTATGATATCCCTTCGCTGATACCCTGACATGGCCAGGAACCCGTCAGATGCAAAAACGATTGGGTTGTCGGGTCGGATCGGGTCAGAAATGCAGAAGGCGTCGCCAAGACCCGGATATGGACTCTGAATCTCACCGGTCATGGAGTGGCGTGTCGACAGCGAGGCGGTCAGACGTTGGGCAAGCTGATATTTGACGAACTCCGGGTAGAGGTCCTGCGACAGCCGCGTCTCGACCGCAGCCTTTGCGTCCTGATACGTTCTGTCAAGGGCTGGGATCGCAGTCCTTGCTGAGAACTTGACGTTTGCCTTGAGGGCACCCGCCGCCTCCAGCGGAAGCTCCACGGGCGATGTTGCCGTCGTGCCAGTGAAGTGGGACGAAATGTAACTCATGGACGAAATGACATTCCCAACCGCTCGAGAATACTCTTCAACCTGCAGGTGGATCAGCAATGATTGCACACATCAAAGCCGGTATCGCTCGCCGTGAAGCTGACCTTGAGCAAGAAGTCGATATCCGACCCGCAGCGTCTAGTCTGCGCAAACGCGCGAAGCCTCTGCGCCGTCGCTCGGTTGGAAAGAGCCAGCTTGAAGACGGCGGGCTCGAAGAGGTCTGGGAGAACTTTTCCGTTGGTCACTAAGCCCTTGGGTTCCGAATTGACTTGGTGGCCTTTAAAGTCCTCGACGCTGCTGCTATCATCAAAGCTCGGATGCCTTGAGCGAGACGGACGAGTCGAGATGGATCCGTCAGGATTGTAGTCCGTGTACTGGCGGAAGGCTGCCTGATTGGTGTGCAATGCCATGCCCGAATCACTTCTTAATCGAAAATTTGACTTGCGCTTGGGCAGTGTCTTGGGACCAGGAGGCGGCGACAGAGCCGTCGAGATAGGGTTGCTCCCTTGCCGGTCGAATGGATTGCGCCAAACGACGATCGGGGTGGCCTGGTTGCTGTCCATCTTGCGGAGGTCGTCCCTGGGCGGCGAGGGAAGCGGCCAGGGAGGAGAGGCTGCCGTATCCGACCTCCCGGGCATTATGATGTCAAGGATGAAGGTGGCTTGGCGTTCTCGGAAGAAGGGCTGCTCTACAGTATCAGAGCTCGCTCGACAAAAAGGATAAGATGCGTGACGACGATGTGGCAGCCTGGTTAGATATTTGACGAATCCCAGAGGATAGGAAGCGTTGGTTTAAGAAGGCTTGATCGGAAGTGATGCGGGTTGAATCACGTATCTGTTGAGGCTCCGACGACCATGACTCGGATTCAGACACTGAGCCATCCTTCTCGCGCCGGAGCCGACCGACTGGCCGTACTGCGCAGTCAGATCCCAACCAGTTGTGGCGTCGTCTGAAGAACGAGTGGAGAACAAGTCGGAGGAACTCGATGGACGGTGCTGGAGCAGGTGGTCCGCATCGAGCCGTTTGCCCGCTACGGGCTCAAGCTATGCAGAGGGCCGACGCCTGTTTGCACACACTAGACAGCAGCCATTCTGTTGGTCCATCGCATCTCTTCGAACGGCCAAGCCGTACCTTAGCCAGATCTTTGGGACACTAGCGTCTCGGAGCGCATTCCGCAGCCACGGATACAGTATCTGTCCCCCATCGGGGTGGAGTTTGGAAGATCTAACTGGCAAAGCGGTAGCTCCTTGGCTTGTAGCAAGCACGGGTTAACCGCGAAGAGATTTGGGACGCTGAAAATCAGAAATCAAAGATTCCACGGGCCAGCACGAACGAAGTGGCAGAAACCACATGTGACTGGCAGCCAGGCCTCCGTGTGTCGGAAACCACCGACGCAAGAGCCCTCGATGCCGAATCTGCTTGACCTCTGGATAGTAGATAGCGGTTCGCACGGGCGCCTACAGCTCTGCCCATCGTGGCTGCCTCTGTGAACCACAATCCTGACGCCGCTAGCCTGCCACTCTGTTTCGAGGTAGCGGTGGACGGCAATTCATCGGCAAAGTTTTGTGATTTCATTCCACTGCACTTACCCCTCGTAGTAAGGCGTGACGTTGACAGCTTGCCGGATCGCGTGCCAAGTGTGGTCGTGAGAGTGTTTGATCTGGACGTGGAGTGGATGCCTCGATCGGAGTGGCGGCGGGCTGCAACGGAGCTAGCTCCGACCGGTGATCGCTCAAGCATTGAGCACAACTTGGCTACTGCGCAGGCCAACGAAGTGGGACCAAGTGACGACAGCGGGACGCCGGCCCGCGGCCGGGATGTCACGTACTGTGTGGCTTCTTACTGTGCCGGACCAACTCTTTCACACACGCACCTCAGGGAGTGCTCCGTATCCGTAGTCCTGTGGGGTTGAACGTTGAATGAGCACCGTTTTCTTTCTTTCTTTTGTTTTTAGCGAGAGTCGGGAGTCAGGATGGCAGCGCCGTGCTTTCGGGCTAATTCGAGGAAGCTACGCCAGCATAAGAAATGAACAAAAATACAGGGCCGAAGGGATGGGCCAGCTTACAAGGCTGGAATAGATGATGCCTCTGCTTCTCCCTCAACCCAGCTTCCTCTGTGAAACCGCACTAGTAGCGGTCGTGGACCCAACGGGCAGCTTATCCGGGACGATGAAAAACCCGAGGATGGGCTGGCCGTCGTTTTGTACTCCGTGCAAGAAGTACTAAACTTGTGGAATACTCTCATGGCGTTGGGATGTTGTGATGCAGCGTCGATGGTGTAGCGCTCCATGTTGACGGCGGGATGTTGTTTTGTAAGGATAGCTCTTCCCACGGGCTACGCTACCTAAATGCCGCAATGTCCGCGGGTGTAAGGTAGTAGGAAGACTGAAGTGAGGTTGGTGGGAAGAAGGTGGGGCAGCTTCATGTTTGAGGCCGTGGGCGTTCAGCTCAATCGCCGTTAACCATCAAAGTGGGCAGAGGAAAGGTATGCCGAGGCCCTGCATCTGCCCTAACGGCACGTAACCTGCAAAGTCACCACTTGGAGGTCTCTTCCCAAAAAAAAAAAAAAAGGAAATTTTGCGGCCTGAGCACCGGCTGACAGAGGGAATGGAAGACATACAAACTTTCTGACAATGGATCGAAGATGAATCCGCCAGTGAGTGCTCAATACTTCCCTCAGGGACGTTACCATCGACGCTGGAAACCTCATGGTGGCCGGATAGCACTGCTGGCCACATAGCTGTGTTGACGGCCCCTGCTTCGCCTCACTGAGCTTCCCATCAAAGTCCTCTTCCTGCAGTATCCCACACTGAACATGACGGACGTGACTCGCGCGGAGAACGTCAGCGAGGTGATGCAGAAGTCGGGCCTGTGGTCCGAGAACATGCCCTACTCCGAAGTCCAGGACTACCTAGCACGTGCAGAGAAGGGCATGCCACGCACGAGGGCCAGCTTTGGGCCGCGAATGAGGCTGTTGATGGGTATGCTGTGGGCGGGCGGGTTCTTCGACGAGAAACGAGACGCGGAACGGCTGTGCCCCATGCGAGCCGCTAGATAGCGCAGGAACGTTGTCGCCGATCTTGCTCTATTACAATTCGAATGGGGACGAGCTTCTTCCGTGGCCGCATGCCGAAGAGTGGGCAGCGAAGTTGAGGAGGCTGCAACCGGATGTGCCGCTCTTCTTGACGTATCAAGAAGGGGACCATGGTTGAAGAAATTACCTGAGTTTGTGCAGATGTATTGCCAACCTGAAGTACAACTTAGGGGAGCAAGCAAAAGATCCTTGAGCCTTCAACTAATAACTCATTTCTGGGCCGTCAGGCTAGTCAGGGTCGCCAAAATCTCATACCTACTGTAAGAGTCGGCGGTTACACAGCACACGTCAAGATGGGGGCGATCCTGCTAGACCCAGATGATCTGCATCATGACGAAAAGGAGATAATAAGCAAATGCGAGCCGTGTCTACCGTGTGTGCTCAGATGTATGGCACAAGTACCTGTTCGGGCGGCCACCAACAACCAACCATCACCCGTTCGCCTTATGCGGCAACGGTCAAATGCGCCACTCATGTCAGAAAAGGGCCCAACATCTCGAATACTCTTCTTGAGCCTCGGCCCATCGCTTCTTCACTGCTCCCTCCCATCATCCAAGACTCTTCTTCCCTTTCGCCAAAAAGTGTGTGACGCGTAATTTGTTCTTGGCTGATTGCCCTTATGGCAAGCTTCCGTTGAGGCTTGCCCATTTCCCCGTCTCTCGTACAATGAAGTGATCACTCAAAGCCGCGGTCCGCACCGCTCACGAGCAGCTCATGCCTTTTTCCTAGCAAGCACCATGTCCACCCTTCAGCTGCCCGCCCGGCGCTATTCGGCCACCACCGTACGCGGTGGTCTCGGCCCTAAGGCCAACTGTACGCTCGAGATCTGCCCGGTCGAGTTTTCCGTGTACGGCTACCGGCCTCGCTTGCCGCCAACATCTCCTTCATTGTCCTGTATTTATGCCGCCGCCGTCCATATCTATCTCGGAGCACGGTGGAAGCAGTGGTGGTTCACAAGCTGCATGATCATCGGCGCTGTCAACGCCATCATCGGCTACATTGGGCGTGTCCTGATGTACTACAGCCCTTTCGACTTTGCGGCTTTTGTCCTGCAAATTAGTACGTTTCCTATGTTTTCCAAGTTCATGTTTCTTACCCCGCCTTCCACAGCATTTCCTCGTCACGGTCCTTTATTTCTTTTGGAACTAGCTCTTCACTCGTCTTTTTCCTTTTTCCAGTCTCCAACTTTCTTTTCTTTCCAAGCTGACAGCTACCCAGTTTGCATTACAAACGGGCCGGGATACTACTGTGCGGCTATTTACATCACCCTCACTCTGACCATCAACTTTCTATCGCCCGACCTATCCCCGCTTCAAGCCCCAAATCTTCTACTACATCAACATCTCCTACGATCTCTTCTCGCTCATTGTCCAGGCGGCCGGCGGCGGGCTTTCGACATCCACAAAGGGCCAGAGTCAGACGGGCGTGAACCTCGCCCTCGTCGGGCTGGCCTTCCAAGTCTAGACCATCCTCCTCTTTTGCTTCTTTTTGGGGGACTACCTGGTCCGCTACTGGCGCTCGGGACGCTGGCATGGAGGCGTCAGTTCCCGCGGCGGCACGGCCACTCGCCTGAAGCTCTTCTTCGGTTTCATGATTGCCGCTGTCCTGCTCACCCTTGCCCGCTGCGCGTATCGACTGGCGGAGCTGAACCAGGGCTACAGGGGCCATTTGGTTCGCGATGAGCCGCTTTTTATCGTGGTCGAAGGAGGGTAGGTCCATTTCCTAAGCTGTTTGGAATTTTCTCTTACCCGCTCCTGCGAGCGCTGGCTCGGATGGTCTAACTAGCATGGTCTTGCTGCGGTGCATCGCCTCATGATCGGACATCCCGGCTTGGTATACAGGCCGGACCAGAAGCTTCAAGTACTGGCAGCGGGGCAGGATCGAATATTGGGACGCAGTGGGCAGGAACTGAATGAATGTCCCCCCTTCTCAAAACGAAGAGTCAGCCTGAGTGATTCCACAGAGAGAGTTCCTGGAATAAATTGAGTATGGCGCAGCGGACATGATGTTGGATCAGAGCATGTCGGAAAACATAAGAGATCCCTGCGGGAGGAGTTACTCATCGTTAAGATACAGCTGCGGGTAATGTTTGACTGCACTCAGCTTGCTACGATGCCCTGGCTTGCATGGATTGCAACCGTGGCGACGACGGCATGGTCGCTTAAAGTGCGAAATGTCGAGAAAGATTGGAAGCAAGATCTAGACAAGTCTTGCAGCCTTGCTCGCGCGGAAAGCTTCAGTCAACCTGTATAAGCAATGCTGTGCTCAGATCGAGTGTTGGGAGTTTGGGAAGCTGCCAGTCCGGCGAAAAACCCGGGCTGACTGGGGACGCTCGAACTCGACTACAACAAGCCGCGTCACGAGCTTCGTCCACGGTATCAAGCGCCTCGCCGCCAACAGGGGCGTCGACTTGCTCCTCAACTCGCTTGACGGCCAGCCGCTCCGGCTCACGTGGTGGTGCATGGCCGCTTTGGCCGTTTCGTCGAGATGGGCGAGAAGGACGTCATCGGCAACGCGGGCCTCGGCATGGAGCCCTTCCTCCGCAACGCCTCTTTCCAGAACCTGCTGGACCATGACCTGGCCACTGCAGTTAAAGGATCCGTCGAGCTAGCCGCGCTGCTCTGCGACAGGATCGGAAAGCTCCTCGCGCCGATCACGTCCATTGCCCTTTTTCCGCGTTGAAGAGGCCTTCCGCACGATGCAGATTGGGCAAGCTCCAAGGCAAGATCGTGCTTGAATAACCCTGGTGGTCCAACGACATGTAAGTTTGCCTATATCATTCAGATGGATACACCCCTGGTCGCGACGCAGGACAAGGTCGCCGACGCCGGGGAGCTGCAAGCGTTGCCCCAGCGGGCACCAGTCGACGAAGTCGCCAACATTGTTGCCGCGTCGCTGGTCAGGAAGTTGGCTAAGCCAGTGATGGTATCAGTCCATATGTGCATAAATGAACCTGTCCTTTCTACCGCTGAGTTCTGTGTCGCTGGCGCTGTCTGTTTTTTGGTTAATATTTAACTATTTATTTGATGTTTTGTTTTTCTCTTTTTTTCCCCGCGGAGGACATCGAGGCATCTAGACCTGTTTGCTGCTAGGACGTTAACAGCTTGCTGGCTTTGAGCGGCGGTCCTGGATCTGCTCTGAGGTCCAAGCCGATATCTCGGGTGTTTGGTGTGCCATCTCGTCGCGGCGTGGCGTAAAATTTGGCTGGGAGAGCACAGGCGGTTGCACAGAGGCTCTTTGTATTGTCCGACACAATACCTTGTTGGTACGGTCTCGACACGTCAATCATAATGGTAGCACATGAGCGATGATCGAATGTTGTACTTCAAGGGAGGGCAAAGGACCCGACGCGACGGTTACCTTGGTTTCAGATTTGGGAGTGGGAGAATACCCCTCGTGAGATAAGTTTGAAAACGGTCCCTGATGTTACACGGTTAGCGTCATGTTACGGTTAGGTACATACCTTAAGGAAAGTACGGATCCGTATAGTATGTACTGTACGTTACGTCCTCTGGTCTGGCTGGCTCGGCTGCGTGGCGCAGCTTGGCTCCCGCCGCAGGGTGGTGTCTTGGGCACTCTTCAAATCCGCAACGATGGGAGGTGGAGAGATTCCATCACAAGAGGTGGTTTGCTTCTACTGCCGACCATTTCTTTGCTTAAACGAGCTTGCTCTGTCCTGACTGTTTTGATAAGGTACCTGCGGACTTCACGCGCAATACAATCTGAGCCCTGTTCAGCTCCCCACATGGCAACAACACCAAAGGTAGATCATCGGAAAGTGGGATGCGAAAACACGATGTATTGTAAGCGTTATCAAAGCATCTAGAAGAGCCTGGTGTTGGAGGGAATGACGGCTGAGAGCCAGAGCCAGAGCTCATGACAAACAAGAAGCAAATCGCAAACGTTCATTGTTTCCTGGCTCGTGTTGGCGTGTCCAGGTTGCACACAAGGCCGCCACGCGAAACACGCAATCTAAGGCCGGGTATCCGACCTTAATCTCGGACGGAATGGACCCTCCCCGGGCAGGTACCAGCCCAGGTAAGGTACTTGCACATCCATGCGCCTGCCTCGAGTCGTCAACTTCTGGATCCAACCTTCTGCTGACTGAGGCAGGCAGGTGCTCAGGGAGCGTGCTGTTGCCGTCCGTGGCCTGCATTGAACCATATACCCGCGCCATGATCAGCCGTGCCCGGACGAGTCCTTGCGCCCATGGATAAGAACCTCAGTCGGCCACCAGCAAGCCGTGACCATCTTCCGTCGCCGCCAGCTTCACAACCATGGTTCTACTTTCGGTATCCTGCTGTCTGGCTCTGGCGGCCAAGGTTCTTGCGCGAGACACCTTCGACCCTCTCGCTTATGTCGACCCGCTGATTGGCGCCAGCAACGGCGGAAATGTGTTTCCTGGCGCCTCGTTGCCGTACGGCATGGCAAAGGCCGTCGCCGACACCAATAGCGGCAGCAGGCAGGGCGGCTTTACTATGGACGGCTCCAACGTGACGGGCTTCAGCGTCATGCACGACAGCGGGACAGGAGGTCAGCCGAGCCTGGGCAACTTTGCCTTGTTCGCCTACACAAACTGCCCCGGTGGCGACATCAACCGCTGCATCTTTCCCAAGAGGGCTCGTGCTGCCTTCGGCCGCTTCAGCAACAGCAGCGTTTCTGCAAAGCCTGGCACCTTCGCCATCACCTTGGACAGTGGCATACGGGTCGAGATGACGACGACACATCACACCTCGCTCTTCAGCTTCGCGTTTCCGAGTGTCGGGCCGGACGATGAGCCGGCCCAGCCCCTTATTCTGCAGGATCTTACCGATCTCGCCGACTCCAGGCAGGACAACGCCACAGTGACCGTGGATTCCAGCACGGGACGCATCACTGGGAGCGCTCGCTTCTTCCCGAGCTTTGGCACAGGTAGCTTTGTCTTGCACTTTTGTACTGACTTCGCCGGCGGAGCCGATATCGTGGACAGCGGTATCTTTGTCAACAGCCGGGCTAGCACTGAGGTCCATAACTTGACGATCTCCAGATCCATCAATGGGTATCCGCTTCCAGGAGGCGCCTTTGTCAGGTTCAACTCGGCCGCCGAACCCATCCTTGTCCGTACTGCGACCAGCTTCATCAGCGCTGAGCGAGCCTGTGAGCATGCCGAAACTGAGATCCCGGACTTCGATTTTACGGCCGTTTCCGAGGCTGCTACTGATGCATGGAGGGCCAAGATGAGCCCCATCAAGGTGTCGACCAACAAGGTAAACGGTTCCATGTTGATAAACTTCTACAGCGGCATTTACCGGACCATGGTCAACCCGCAAAATTACACTGGCGAGAACCCGCTGTGGTCAAGCAGTGAGCCGTACTTTGACTCTTTCTACTGGTATGGAAAGCGAGACTTGGTTTTATTTCTCTCATAGGCTAACGCTGGATAGCATCTGGGATCAATTTCGGTCTCAGCTCCCACTTCTCACCATCACAGATCCCGTTGCCGTGACAGATATGGTCCGCTCTCTGATCGACACGTACCGCCATCTAGGATGGCTGCCTGACTGTCGAATGAGCCTCAACAAGGGTTACACCCAGGTACCCAGCCCCCGAATGTCCACTTCCTGCTGTGGCTGCTAACTTTGCCAGGGCGGGTCCAATGCCGATGTTGTGTTGGCTGATGCCTACGTCAAGGGGTTGAAAGGGGGGATCAATGTAAGACTCTGTGCCTTGGTCCAGCGAGGAGATCCTGACACCGTGGAAGTGGGATGATGGGTATGCTGCTGTGGTCAAGGATGCCGAGGTCGAACCCTATGATTGGTGTTGTGAGGGACGTGGAGGCCTCGACAGCTGGAAGGCGCTCGGGTACATTCCCGTACAAGATTTCGACTACAAAGGCTTTGGCACAATGACGAGAAGTATCTCGCGGACGCTCGAGTATGCCTACAACGACTTTTGCATCGCTCAGATGGCTTCCAAGCTTGGTAAGACCATTGACAAGGAGAAGTACATTGAGTCAAGCGGCAACTGGCAGAACCTCTTCAAGAAAGACCAAGAGTCAGTCTGGTGGAACGGCAGCGACACAGGCTTCGTCGGATTCTTCCAGCCCAGGTACCTCAACGAAACCTGGGGCTTCCAGGACCCTCTGAATTGCAGCAATCTCGATGCCTACAGCGTCTGTTCCCTGCAAAACACGGGACGCGAGACGTTTGAGAGCAGCATCTGGGAATACGGTTTGTACGCCAAACCCTGGCCCCTCTCCCCCTCCCCCCCCTTCCACCCCACCCTCCAATACCCTCAAGCCTCCAACTAACCCACCAACAGCTTCGTCCCGCACGACCAAGCAACTCTCATCACCCTGTACGGCGGCCCTTCGGCCTTCACCGCCCGCCTCGATTACCTCCACGACCGCTCCATAACATACATCGGCAACGAACCCTCCTTCCTAACCGTCTTCCAGTACCACTACGCCGGCCGCCCGGCACTCTCAGCCCTCCGCAGCCACGCCTACATCCCCTCGTCCTTCTCCCCGACGCCCGCCGGCCTGCCGGGCAACGACGACAGCGGCGCAATGGGCTCCTTTGTGGCCTTCGCCATGATGGGCTTGTTCCCCAACCCAGGCCAGGACGTGTACTTGATCACGCCGCCGTACTTTGAGCACGTTAACATCAGGCACCCGCTGACGGGCAAGACGGCGCGGGTGGTCAATGTCCACTTTGACCCGTCGTACAGGGACGTCTACATCCAGAGCGCTACCCTCGACGGGGAGGTCTACACCAGGAACTGGATCGACCACAGCTTCTTCACCGAGGGCAAGGAGCTTGTGCTGACGCTGGGGCGCAACGAGAGCGCATGGGGAACGAGGGTGGAGGATTTGCCGCCGAGTCTGGGGCAGTATGAGGGGTTTGAAAGAGGGAATGGCTCGTTTAAGAGAGCGGCGGCGGCGAGACTTTGGCGGCGAGAGAGCGGCAAGGCTGGGTTTGCAATGTTGGGAGACAAGTTTGGCACCTGAGTGTGCTTGTATATCCCTAGGCACCTGCATCTGCGATGTGAACGACACCACACGCGTGAAAGAAGACTGGCTCCGTTCTGTCAGCCTTATCTAGCGAAGATGAAGCTAGAGGCACTCTATGGGTATCAATTATCAGCCCAAACCCATGACGCCGTAGTTAACCCTCCTTCCCCCTTATTGACGCCATTTCCCCCGCCCGATGCGCCCGTCTAAATGCTGTTACCATGTCGTTCAGATGCCGTTTTGATCCTTCACCGCATTCCACGCCGCGCGAGACAGGAAAAAGCAAGACATAATACATTAAGCGTGAGAAGCAAACATGGCGAAGCTGGTGTGGCCGACAAGCCTTTTGAAACGACATCCCGATCATCGTGTGCCACTTCGAAGCGCCGATGCGATCGAACGGCGATCCATATTCTCTTACAGCCAGATAGGCCTCCAACAAGACGAAAAGCTCTGTTTAGTGGTCCCCAACGGGGGGGTGGATTACGTCGCAGCTGGGACAAACGAGATCTTCGATGTCGTAGTCGTCGTCTTCGGGATCGTACTCGTCCGGCTCAATTGGCAGGCCAGTGAGTCTGTCAAATTCCATCCAAAAGCGATAGTCGTCATCCTGTTCGAGCGGAATGGTTTTGAACAGGGTGCGGCGCTTCTTCCATGGAGACACGGGGTGGCCTTCTTCCTTGGGAGCAGGAGGCATCTTGGCGTGGGAATGACGACGGACATGAGAAGATTGCGAACTTTGGCTCGATGACGTCCGCTTGGTGCTGGCGTACTCTTCCGCAAGAACCTTCCATGAGCGGACGACCTTGGGCATCCACTCTGGCATCCACCGCTCTCGACCCGCCATCGGCCGGAGCTGGTTTCCCGAGAACACGAAGGTGGCGTCGGATTTCAAGAGGAGTCCATCATCCTTGACCATGCCCGTCAGCTCGGCAATCAGTTCTTCGCCAAAGTCGCAGTCTGGGAGGCCGGTGATCTGAAGTTCGTTCAGACTGCATCCAAGATCGTGAGATGCGAAGTTGTGGAGAGAAGGACCTCCCCCAGGAGTGAGGTAACTGTCCGGAAAGTTGACAAAATCCATCCTCAGGCATTCCAGACTGGGAAGCAGACGAGGCCGTGGCTGTCCTTTGGGGTGGTTGGGGTCATACGGGGGCCGCATGGCGTCCAAGAAATCCACAACCTGGTCCCAAGCGTAACTGCGGAAGCCCTTGCGGGAGAGAGTTGCTTCCTTGATGCGTGGAATGGCCTTGAGATTGATGGTCCTGTAGTACGAAATTACCGACGTCGGGTATGGCGCCAGATGCTTCCGCTCCTCGTCATCGTAGTACCGCGCAATGATGCGGAGCGTGACATGCTTGATGCCCTTGCGGTATTCAAGGCTGAGGTTGGCGAAGTTGCGCAAAGCGAGATGGCACGTGAAGACGAATGTATTGTTTCTCCACAGGAAGCGGGTGCCTTCCAAGAGAAAGGCCTTGCAGGTTGCCAAAAATCCAATGGCGATCTGGTTGCCGCGCGTTCTCTCAGCCACGGTCAAGGCGTCCTTGTTCGATTTTGACAGAGGGTCGATGATGGGGTACTTGCTGGTCAGGGCGTGCTCCAAGATGTACACCTGGAGCTCGACAGGGAGGATTGGCAAGTGCTGGTTCTCCTGGGAAAGCGGTCCTGGGCCCTTGGACTTGCGAGTAACACTTTTCTTGGGGGAAGCCCAAGTGCCTCGGGTAGGGTCATCGGGGTTGAGCGTTAACCGAGGGTCCCAGGAGATTCCGTGCTCACGGAGAAGCTTCTTGAGCTGCCTGTTCTCCTCCACAAGTTTCCGGTTCAGAGCTCGTGTGGGCTCATCATACCAAGCCTTGGCCTGCTCTTCTTGGTCACGCTCCTCAGCTGGCAGGACACTCTGTTGAAGCATCAGCAATCGGCTCCTCGCTCTACACAAAATGGCGTGCTTCGGGTCGCCGGGAGGTAATACGATTGGGGCCGGACTCACGCTAGCTGGGTCCCAACTCATCTTGACCGGTGTCTAGGGAAAGCGGCCAAAGGAGAAACAGTGCGGTAGACTGGTGGATTTTGAAGTTCGCAGCTTGCTTGCTGGTCGCAGGCCTACGGCGCAAACGGATGCGACCACAGGCGGGGTTGGCAACAACCGGATGCTGACACAGCAGGAGAGGCGACGAGGCTAAAAAGGCAGATCGGATGCCAGTGTGCAAACCCGCCCACCTTTGTGGAAGTATGTAAAGTGAACTCGTTACTCACAGAGTAAGAAGGGCCTTTTCATCCCAACCTTCGATCGACTTATTTCACAGTTGCGGAAGGAAATGCTGGCCTGGCAACTGTGGTGACCGACCCTGAGTCTGGTGACTGGGGTTTTGCGATGCTCCCAATTGGCGAGGTTCCTTCCTTCATTAACGGCAGTGGATTGCCATGGCTGCCTGAGCTTGACCTAATTATTGAACATGGATTGAGGCAGTTGCATCTTTTCGGAAGGAGCGCTGCAGGAACCCAACGCAGGTTTAAGTTCAAGTTGTTTTCAATAGGAGACTCTTTTGGGTTTGGCAGTGAAAAGTGGAGCGTTGCAAACCACATGCCGGGGCAACCGAACCTTGATCAACCAGATCTATATCTGAGGGACTCGGAAAGCTTTTGAGGCACCAACTGAAGGTGTAAGTAAGGAATCTGAGGGTGGGGGGGAGGGGATTAACTGGAAAAACAGTTAATCAAGAAGATACGGTTGACGCAATACAAGTTTAGTATACCACTCAGTAACTTGATATAACTAACTAAATCAATGCTTGTTTATTTATTCATTGATGTTGAACACGGACGGAGAATAGATCCATCAATAAACTACCTGGCGTTGCAGATTAACTATCAACGATCAAAAGCTTGATTCCTCTTAGTTAGCTTGCTTTTCAACTTCCACCTCAAAACTCTTTTATCTGTCTGCTCCTTTTCCTTCCTCTTCCCCTTAGGACTTCTCTTTTCATCTATCCCTTTATCTCTTCTCACCTTAACTTATTGTCCCCTTGATCTTCATTCATCTTGTTTTCTAGGTTACTGTCGTCGTATCACTTTCCCCCTTTATCTATGTCTACCCTGTGTCTCCGTAGGGCCTTCCATATGCCACACTAACTGATACACAAACTAAAGCTAGGTTGGATAAGTTTTTCAATGTTGAAGAATATCTTATCATTCACCCAATACTCAGCTATCAAACATCACGAGGGATTCTGGAGAGACGTAAAGTCACTAACAATTAACGTTAAGTTAACTAACTAACCTTAGTTTGGAATGAGATTACTCACAATTGTCAAACCTCAAGAATTCCATTCACGTGGACCGCCACCAAGTGCGCAATTACTCCACTGCAACCTGACGTCAGGACATTTCCGTCAAGTCTCTGACACCCGCTTTTTTCTTGAGTGCGCAACCTGCAAACTGAGGAAACGACGAGAGGGTAAACGCTCCCGAGTCTAGCCGTTAATGAACCGGCATCAATTTCCACTCAAATTCGATGATGGCATTAGGTGCCGTATTACATCATGATTAGGGCAGGCCTGTTTCACTACGGGAGGCTACGATGGGTCGTATATATTGAGAAAGCTGTCCTGTCACTGCTTCATTCCCTACCTGGTAATTGATAGCTTACTGAATTCCCACGAGAGATCGAAACATTACAGCAACACATCAACATGTCTCACACCGAGGCCGCCACGAAGCACGCCGACCCGTACAAGGAGGCCAACCTCGACACCGAAGTCTCGTTGGAGAAGAAGATTCAGGACCTCAACGACTTCGTGAAGGCATGCAAGTTCGGCATGATGACCACCCGTGATGCGAAGTCTGGAAGCTTGGTCTCGCGGTGTATGGCCTTGGCTGCTCAGGTATGCGCAACGGCGAAACCACGCAAGTCTGGCAACTCCTGACTGATCCCATCCCAGGAAACCGGCGGTATAGACCTCCTCTTTCATACCAACACCGAGTCCGGCAAGACAGACGACCTTGCCAGCGATTCTCACATCAACATCAGCTTCCTGAACAGCTCAGGTGACTGGGCTTCCGTAAGCGGCACAGCCAGCGTGGTCACAGACCGGTCCTTGGTCAAGCAGCACTACAGTCCAGATCTCAAGGCCTGGTTGGGCGATTTGGGCGACGGGGTCCATGACGGAGGAGAGAATGACCCCCGCATCGGCGTTATCCGGGTCAAGATGACTACGGCCCACTACGCGATCTCAAACAGGACCGTGATCGGGCAGATGGCGCAGGTCGCTCAGGGTATAGTCACAGGAAAGCCGGCGGTGGTGAACAAGTTGCGCCAGATCAGCGAGTCCGAGGTCCAGCAATGGCGGTCGTCTCATTAGGAGGTGGAGCCCTGGCTGGGAGGAGGATTCTGATTACGGCATCGGATGCACGATTGGACGTAGACTTGAGGATAAACGAACATTCGCTATCCAGTGTAGTGCCTTGGTAGTGATTTCGAAGGATTCAGTTGAAGTATCGTCATGTAAAGTGACACTCATTGCTTGGCCTGGTACTCAGCCTTCCATATCTGGTCCCAACTCTCCTTGTTGGTAGCGAATTCGCGGACAAACTCATGCTCGAGCTCATGAGTTCTCCTCCCCAGGAGCACCATGCTGTGCAGCGGTGGCCCCAATTCGTCGTCGGCGTCGCAGAGTTCCTTCAAAGTACCCGCGACGAACTTCTCCGTCTTACCACCCACACGGGCTGCACCGATGGCCAGACTGTCCGGACCAAAGACCCCCTGACCCTTTTCTTGCTCTATCTCGAGCATCTGCCGTGCACAGGTGCCAACCGACATGTAGCGCGGCGGCTCGTAGATTTTCCTGCCCCTGGCCATGTTCTCCAGGCTCTGCTCCTTGACCTTGATGTCGAGGAGGATGAGCGTGTGCAGGCCAATGTCTCGGTTCTCCTTGATCCGGTCGTAGAAGCTGGCCGGGCGCCAGTTGTCAGTGAAAAAGACCATACTGACGGTCTGGCCAAAGTTGTACAGCTGGAGTCCGGCGGCGCCGATGCCCGACAAGATGGACGCGTTCGGGACCGTCTTGACGGGAATGCCGAGCTCACGGGCACGGAGAACCAGGTCCGTGTGAGTCGTGGCGCCGAAAGGATCGCCGACGACCAGGAAGGCTACGTCGACGCTGGCCGCATCGCGCAGGATCTCGTCGCTGTTCGACTCGACCATCTCACGGTCGGCAACCACAATGGAGCGGCCATAGTAGGATTCCTACTATGCATTAGCGTTAGTTGAGCCTGGCGCCAGGACAGAGGAGGAGACATGTACGTACAAGGACGGACGGGTCCACGAGAAGGATGCTCGTGTAGGCCTCAAGGTAGACCCTAGAAGCCTTTCTCACGATCTCAAGGCCTTTGACGGTGATATCCGTCTCGTCAGAAAGACCGAGGCCAACCAGATAGAGCATCTTGTCTGACTGGGGAGTGATGCTTCAAGTTTCTTTCCGCAGCTTGCGCAGGTTTGGGCAGAGCAATGCAAGATATCTTATGTGGGAATACTGCCATTGCAAATGTACTTGTAACCCCGCCAACAGTGCCCCGCCAAAATTTCCGTCACGGTCAGGCAAGAAGCTTATCTTATCGCTCCCGGCGCAGACAACAGCAATCGAATCCAGAAGCTTCACATCACAACACGTCCATCGCAGCAGCAGCAGACGAGCGTAATACGTGTAATCGACTGCCCAACATGTCCAAGAACGGCTCGGCCTACGGACAAGCGGCCGGAGACACCGACTTCCGCAAGAAGTACGACCTCGACGAGTATGCGGCGAAGGCCAAGGAGCGCGAAGCCGCCGAGAAGGAGGAGCGCAAGGCGCGGTGGGAGGCCAAAATGGCTGGCAAGAAATACCACAAGCCGATGGACGGCAGCGAGACGTTCACGACGGCGCGCAGCGCGACCCAGGACTTCAGCAAGCTTGTGGGGACGTCGACGCTGGTCCCCGCCGGCGCGGGCGTGGGCAAGCGCGGGCGCGGCGCCGGCTTCTACTGCGAGGCGTGCGACCTCACGTTCAAGGATAACCTTCAATGGGTGGAGCATACCAACAGCATGCAGCACCAGCGAGCCATTGGCGCGACGGGTGAGGTGCGCAGGGCCACGGCCGAGGAGGTGCACGCGCGCATCGACGCGCTGTGGGACAGGGAGCAGGAGCGCAAGCGGGAGCAGGTTGTGTCGCTGCAGGAGAGATTGGAGGTGCGCAAGGAGGAGGAGGAGAGGGAGAGGGAAGAGAAGAGGCGGAAGCGGAAGGAGCTGGAGGAGCGCAGGCGGTTGGAGAAGGAGGCCGCGGCGAAGATCAAGACTGAGTACGGCGAGGATGTCCGGATCGAGGGCGAACACGACGAAGACGACATGATGGCCGCGATGGGGTTCACTGGGTTTGGGACCACAGCCAAAAAGTGACGGCTTCTGGGCCCGTCTGGTGCGGCTTGGTTTTCATCGTACTGATGGTCATTGTCTGTAAAGGTACAAAAGATACCAGCGACAGGTCGGCGTTTGGAGTTCAGGTCGGCGCTAGCTGCATGTATGAGCGGTTGAATAGGTAGATCCGGTGTGAAGCAATCCGATGCATAATTATGAACAATCGGTAACTTGACATTATTGAGGTGCCAGATCTGCATCGTCTACTCCGTATCTCTGCGACCCTGTCGGCCCCACCTTCCGGAGCGGTCCGACGCAAGGCCACAAGGTTCCTTATGAGCACCCGAACACCCCGCTTTGGCTGTTCGCATGACTACCAAGTCTAATGTAGGCATGCTTTGCCGACAGAACAACCAACATCAGAGCGACATTCTTTGGTTTGTTTCTTTCGATAACGCAGGAGGCCTACTCGTTTCTTTGATCCGTTTCTAATTCGCGCCGAACCTTCGCCTTGACCAAGGTCGAAGCACATTGGTTTCCTGAAGCGCAGTCGAGGAGGGCTTGGCATTTGCAAAAGCTCGAGCACGGTACTACGATACCACGAGGTCGGGAACAAACATGGCCAGCTCGTCGGCGAGCTCGGCCGCTGCGGCCACCCTACTCAAGCGCCAGCTCAAGCAGATGCAGTCAGCGAAGGATCTTCCGGGCATCTCGTGCGGCTTGGTAAACGACAACAACATCTTTGAATGGGAGGTCATGCTGATGATCAGCGACGACTGCAAATACTATGGCGGTGAGTCCTTCCACCTTCCCTACCCTGACACCCGCTGTGTCCCAACTCCAGCTGACGATCACTGGTTTCGAACTAGGAGGAAATTTCCGCGCCCACCTCAGCTTCCCCCCGACATACCCGCACATGCCGCCCAAGATGGTCTTCCAAAGCCCGATCCCTTTCCACCCAAACATCTACCCGAACGGCGAGCTCTGCATCAGCATCCTACATCCTCCCGAGGAGGACAAATTCGGCTACGAGGCGGCTAGCGAGCGATGGAGCCCCGTACAGACGCCCGAGACGATCTTACTGAGCGTGATCAGCCTGTTTGAGGACCCCAACGACGAGAGCCCTGCAAATGTGGAGGCGGCAAGGCTGTTTCGCGAGGAGAGGGAGGGTAAGAGCAAGGATTTCAGGAGGCGGTGTCGGAAGTGCGTGAGGGAGAGTTTGGGAGAGGACTAGTGGGGAGTGGAAAATGGGCCAGGGATATATGATGGAACCAAATGATCCGACACATCTGCATTGATAATGCCAATGCATCTGGGATTCCTCGGGGCTAATAAGAGACGACGGCCGAGCGTCTCAGTGTCAAGTTTTGCTGCAAAGGAGTCAAGGGCACGGCGAGGACCCGATTACGGTAAATCGGACAGCGCACAGGCATTGACACGTGCGAACGGTTCTGCAAGGAGTTGACGTTATCCATCACAAAAACCCAAACTCCCATCGTCTTTTGTCACCAAACCCAGAACCACTCCAACTTTGGAATCCCACTCTTCATCCCACCGCCTGCTCCCCTCCTTAGCCGCCCCCTTCCTCAGCCTGTCCAGCTCCGTTCTTCCTTCGTCGCCCAACAAGTGCCCCAGGATACCAGCCAGCTCCTCCGCCGTCTCAAACCCGCGGCCGTTCTCGCCCTCCTTCACCAGCTCCCCAAAGCTCTCATACGCAGAATACGCCGCTACCGGCAGCCCGGCCCCAAACATATCCACCACCTTCATGGGCAGATCCACGCCCGAGCTGCTCATGTGCAGACAGACCCCGAGATCGGCGCACGCCAGCAGGCTGGCGTAGTCCGCAAACGGCAAGAAAGCCGTGAAAATCCGCACATTGGGCAACCGCCCTGCCGCAGTGAGCTCGGCAATCTTGCGCTGGTACAGTTCCTTTTGCGGACCCTTTCCCGTGATCACGGCCAGCAGTGGGGTCGCGGAGGACGAGGTGGCGTCGGTGGCGTACCGCACCAGAGCGTCCAACAGCAGCGAGAAGTCCTCGTCGGGCGTCCAGCTTGTGCTGCTGATGAGCAGGCGCACCGTGCCGTCCAGCAGGCGGGGGATGAGGGCGGCGTCAGGGCCGAGGAGGACGCGCTTCAGAGTCTTCTCCCTTGTTTGGGGGGAGGAGATGGGTTGGAAGATGGCCGCTGGCCGGTCGTGGACGGTGAGCATGGGCTTGGTGATGGAGTAGGGTGGGCGGCGGAGCTGGCGCGCCATGGCGTGGGTTACTGTCAGGTGGAGGTCGGCTAGGCGGCCAAGGTGGCATTCGTAGAACTTAGAGATGGCGACGAAGGGGTGATTGGCGCCGCGGGTGCCGGCGAGAATCGTCCATCCGTAGTTGTGCCAGTCGATAATGAGTTTGCTGTTGCGCAGGCGACAGATGAGGCTGGCGACGGCGAGGGTGGGAATAGAAGGGGGGTTTTGCATCAGGATCCATTGGGCTGGTGGGAGCGTGTAGATGAGGAGGTGGGCGAGGTGATAGACTTGGTAGAGAACCTTCCAGGGAGCAAAGAGGATGAAGGGAATGAAGTTTGGCCTGCCTCTTGGAGTCGGCAGGGGCATGATGGTGATGTTGGCATTGCTGACTAGGTCGGGGTGAGGGGCCGTCTCTGTGGCATGTCAGCCAACCTGTGTCCCGACTAGGATCATGCCCTTGAGTCCTACCAAGATACCCGATGAGATTCACTTTTGCCCCATGTTTGGCTATGCTCAAAGCATGGTAGGTCATGCGTGGGCTGCGGCCGAGGTCACCGAGGACAAGAACATGGACCGAAACGCGGTCTTCAGGGGAACCTGCAGCAGGGCCCTTGTACTTGGTGATGTTGACGAGGAAGAGGATAATGAGCGCTGCAAAACCGAGAATGCAGAAAGCGACGGATGATATCAATATAGGTATCATGCTTGCCTCTTTTCTGATGGCCGTTGTGTGATGCAGGGTTTGGGGCTACGGCTTGTTGACAGATGGCATCTGCTCCAAGACAATCAGTGAGCTCTTCAGTACATGAACTTCAAACCTCCAAGGATCAAACAGCTGCGGTATCGAAATCGAAAACTGTCGGATGCTGTTTCAGTTTTCACCCTTGCAGTAGACAGCGCCGATATCAACAGGCCTGGCATCACTGATGTGAAGCTGTTAGTGAGGGTTTATGAGCTGTCCAATGGCTGGTCCAGTTCGACCCGGTCCTCGGGTTGCAGCATGCTTATCGGGCTGCATGACGATGCTTGATGATGGGGCAACCAAGAGTATAGTGCATACAGCCAATCAGCGTGTTAGCAGGCTCAATCACTTCCCCACTGGTTCAGGGGTCAATGGCGGAAGTGGAAAGCGGCCAGAGAACCGCAGTGGGCTTTGGGGGGAATGAACGTGGAGAGATCGGGCAAACAACAACCGTGACTTTGCCGAGTTTGAGGAGGCATCTTTCCTGATAACCAGCCATCATCATCTCCAGATTTGGAACAACTGCGGAACTCTCCTTCCTCTGCCTTACAGCTCGGAGTAGCACGAAGAGTAGACCGGCTACACTGCATTTACGACTGGTTGCCCACAGGTATAGTCATCGTCTGTTTCGTGTGCCACCCAGAATTCTCACTGACCGCCTTGCGCGTTGTTTCGATGTAGGATCCGGAATCACGTTCATATTCAAGTCAGCGCCGTTACCCTACGATCGGCGGCCGTTCCATTTTCCACTTATCTGAGGTCGAACAAGCCTCCCGATGCCTAGAGAGAGGTGACTCTAGGAGCACCGCGCTCCCGCACTCCACGAACAATAACCAGACCCCTTGTTTCGCGGCTCTTGAAAGCCGCAGGTCTTGGATAGCGTCATAGCTGGACACCATGGCAGCCTCCTATGCCCTGCCGGCCTCGGCGCTCCATCAGCACCACCACCATGGGCCAGACACGGTGTGCTCGCACGCACACTCACACTCGCATTCGCATTCCCACCCGCCATCCCTCAACTCGCTAAGCCCGTCGCGGAGCCGCAAAGTATCTCTGTCGAACGGCGCGCACTCCCACGCCCGGACTCACCAGCATGATGGCAACCATACTCAGTTCCGAGCGAACCCGCGCGTCCCCGTTCCGATCAACGTCATGCCGCTGTCCGAGCCGAGCACACAGTGGAAGATTGAGTCGACGCCTGGCGGGAAGTCTCTGCTGTCGCCCACCACTGCCAGCTTTGATGCTGCTGGCGTGTACGAGCCCCCGGTCGCGTCCCGGTCGAGGTCGCATTCGCATCCACATCACCAGCACCATCACCACGAACACTCGGCGCCACGGTCGAGAATTACAGGTTTCTTTCTCCAGTACACCCCGAGCTGGCCATTACTTCACGCAGTAGTGGTCGACAAGGACTCGCGGAGGATATTCTACTTCATGAGGTTCGTCCATGATCTCAGCTCACTCTCGGCGTCCCAACTGACAATTGCGAAATCAGCTTGAACCTGGCATTCATGATGGTGCAAGCCTTCTACGGTTATATAACAGACTCGCTCGGTCTGCTCAGTGACAGTGTACACATGTTCTTTGACTGTGTGGCGTTGGGAGTTGGTCTGTTTGCGGCTGTTGCGGCCAAGTGGCCACCAAGCGAGAGGTTCCCGTACGGTTTTGGGAAGATTGAGACGCTGAGTGGGTTTGGCAACGGGGTGTTCTTGATACTGATCAGTGTGGAGATCATGACGGAGGCATGCGAGCGGATATACGAAGGCAGGGAGACCAAGCGGCTGGGGGAGCTATTCGTCGTCAGCACGGCCGGTCTGCTCGTCAACCTGGTTGGCATGATGGCGTTTGGCCACCACCACCACGGTCATGGGCACGACCACGGCCATTCCCACGGCTGCAACGGGCATGCTCATAAGCACCAACACTCTGACCACCACGGCCACGATCATTCTCACAGCCACGGGCAACACGACGAGAAGCACGGGCATAGTCACGGTGCGCAAGCCCACTCGCATTCTCATTCTCACGACAACGAGAACATGTACGGTATTTACTTGCATGTCCTGGCCGACACTTTGGGAAGTGCGGCCGTCATCGTCTCGACGATTCTCACGCACTTCTGGAAGTGGTCAGGCTGGGACCCGCTCGCATCCTTCCTCATCGCCGTCCTGATCCTGCTCTCGGCCCTGCCGCTGGTGAAGTCGTCCGCCCGGCGACTGCTCCTCACAGTGCCGCCCGAGGTCGAGTACAACCTGCGCGATACCCTGTCTGGAATCACCGGGCTGAGGGGAGTGGCGGGGTATGCTGCGCCCAAGTTTTGGATCGATGATCGGAATGCTGGGGAAGGGGCTCCGGCGAACAAGCTGTTGGGTGTCATGCACGTTGTTGCGGTTAGGGGCGCAGATATGGAGGACGTGCGCGATCGGGTGCGGAAGTATCTGCTAGAGCACAACATCGATGTGACGTTACAGGTTGAGCGGGAGGGTGATACCAGTTGTTGGTGTGGTGTCGGGAGGAGCCCACTATCGCAGTCGCACCGGGCGACTAACAGTTCCAACATCTTTTAGGACAGGATTTGCTGGATAGGGCATGTACGATTCTCGAAGAATTTGCTGTACGTATTGCTGGCATTTGTTGGTGTGTCGTCCGCGTTTAATTCTGGACGGATCTGGGACGTGTCTCATACTCGCTTACAGAGTAATGCCTTTGTATTGTACGCACATACTTGGTTAAATGGCTTGGAGAAGGTCTTCTACAGGGAGCAATGGAGATAGTCAGTGGTCGGGCTGGGTGCTCTGTTTGATATTGCCGAGCCCTACGGGTGCCGCCCACCAACATCCCTCTGCCTGCCGATTAATCGCGTTGCCGACCCCTCGGGCCGAGAATCGGGGAGTGGAACTTTCCCGAGAGAAGCCAAGCCGGCACTCAGATGGCTCCACTTATTCAACTTCTTCACAGCAGCCTCTGCTCTCGTTTGCCTGCGGTTACTCCTTTTATCTGCCCTTTTTCCTCCACCTTCCCGATGCCAACCATACCGTGGTTTCAGGCGACCTCGCATGAACATTTTCACTATCAACGACCTCCAGCGATGTCTCCAGGGAACTATCTGCTGAAGGACCTCGCTATGAACTCATTTCATGTCAGGGAGGCGGAGCGTTTCTGGCATGACTGTGAGCGCGTCACGGTGGAATGGTTGGAGCTTGCCGAGCAACTCGACAAGTTCGTACAAAACACTGAGCTGTTACAGACTAGGCAAAAGGTCCTTCATCCTCAACAGTTACACTTCTTGCTGCCGATTCATGTCCTGTCTCGGTAGAGGATTCCCCACTAGCGGCGTTACCTCGAGCGCGGCGGCGCTGTTGACGTGAAAGACGAGCATGGATCTACGCCCTTGGAGCATGCTTGTCTCTCCAAGAACGACCATATCTCCGTACCATTCCTCGTTCAAGACGGCGCCGATGTAGACAAGCGCAACTTCACGGGTCGCTATAAGGTTTAACGCCTCTATTTCTCCTAATTCTATCGCGTGCGCGAGTGGCATTGGCCCAGTACTTGTTGGACCATGGTGCGGATATCTCGAAAGCCGCAATCCCGTCCTTCCCTACCGCTCTCATGGCAGCCATTATGCTGGCCGTTTGGAAATGGTGAAATTCCCGGTCAACCATGGCGGCGTCGACCTGACCAACTCAAACTCTGCCGACAAAGGAGCGCTAAACTTTGCTTGTGAGCGTACGAGACAAGTACCGGTGGAGGTCACCGAACTTCTTCTTTCCAGGGGAGCCGATGCCATCTACCGAGGGAACCACGTAGAGCCCCCTCGGCTCGAGCGACAGAAATGGACAGCCCGGAAGCTGTAAGATGCTGCTGAAGGCAGGGGTCAGCGTTGATAGAGGCACTGGCTACACCCGCCGTAGACCGTTGCACATGGCCATCCTACACGGCGACATGGAAACGGTCAATGTGCTCCTTGACCACGGAGCCAGCCTTGTCACCAAGGGTCAGGGCATTGCAATGCGATATGGTATCCCATACATGTGAAATCCGTACCAAAGCTCCAGACGCTTCTCAAGACCGTCGAGAGCCGGCCTGGCACCAAAGAGGCTCTTCATGCGCCTGATAGACATGGCATCACGCCGCTCCATGAATGTGCTGAATATGGCCCCGCCAAGTGCGTTGAATTGCTTCTGGGTGTGGCTGACAGCCGGACCATGGTATTGTAGGTGGATTTGGAGGGAAACACCCCGCTTTCATCGCGCAATCCGTGGTCGGGATGCACATCTAGATGACCCCGATGACGGGTACAAGCGGACTATGGAACTTTTGTTGAGCCACGGCACGCGAATCCCACAAGATCTAGGACCACGACTGCTCTGGTTTGCTGTCGAGTCCGGATCTCTGGAGATTTGCCGGCGAGTACTCACACTCGACGGCCAAGCGGCCAAGGACCTTAGGGATAAGCACGGATGGGCCCTATTGATGGTGGCTTTGCGGAACCGCGACCTTGAAAGTCGCCCAGGTGTTGTTGTCCTTTCTCAGAACTAATGAGCCAGCTAGCCGCGTCCTGGGGCATATTCCCAACACGGGCACCGTCTCTCTGGGCGGGGAAGCATCTCACCGAATCTCATTCAAGCGACAACCTTGAGTTCCGAAAAACATGTCAACATCGGAAGACGATCCGCCCGCAACGAGCGAGCCACCCAATCCCGTTTGGATTGTCCCGCTATTATTCGGAAATCGACATTGTCCGAGTCATGGAAACCTTTATTGGCATAAATGTCGCTATTGAAGGTCACTGCCACCGGTGGACTTTCCGAGGTTGCTCTCCGAGTTGGTATAACACGGGGATCAATATGTAGATCTATCGTAGTCAAGATGGCCGGGTTTTGGGGACTCCTACAGTCACGAGTCCGGGCGAAGAGAGGGTTAAGTTATACCCATTTTCTGGACCGACATACAGGCGAGGAGGCACCGTCGGGTGTGGAGTCGACTTTGTGAAAGGCGTCATCATTTTCGCCAAGAACGGTGTGCTTCTCGGTAAGCGCCCGTCTTCCTTTCCTGTATTCTCTTCCTGAATTCTCAAAGAGTGAATATCTTGCTGATGGTATGTGAACAGGCGACGCGGTTGAGTAGCTCCCTCACCGTTGACTGTTTCCCGTCGTTATGATAGCGAGAGAACGATGTGGATCAAGGCCAATTTTGGGACGGACCCAACCAAATCCTTCAAGTACGATCCAAGTCAGTACGGAGAGAGGCAGTGGCCGCGCCCGGGATTGTGTAATGTCCCATGGATATACAAAGACCCGGGTCTCTGCACAGCCTGGACGCACTCCGCCCTCGAGATTCCAACACGAAATGGTTCAAGTTATCCTTGATCAGTCTCAGCTCCTAGCCACATCAGAAATTCTGATACTCCTGCTCCCAATTGCCCCTGCCCCTCTCCTGCTCGACGAAAGCCTCTCCTGCATGAAGATTCTTTAAGCGAGCACTATCAGCATGCGGCTTAAAAAGGGGAGGAACCTGCAAGCGCAGGCGTTGGGCAACACCCGCGCAAGTGCGGAGTCCCGGTATGTGCACATAGGCTACTCGAAGCCGCATATGCTGGCTACAACGATCGTCCGATGAGGCATGCGCGTGGCCATATCACACCGATACTCCATAACACGCCTCAAACCTGCTTCATTGCTTGAGATAAACGCGAGCAGGGGCCGGGTATGGGCTACAAGCAATTCCATCCGGTAACCGCCGTAGACACTTGACCAGGAAGAGCGCATTCACATGCAAATCTCCAGTCAGTCTTGGCGCGAACACCTTATTTGCTCTGCAAGGAGGGCCAAGGTCATGCGGCAGGGTTGCAGACGCGATTCCTTGATGACTGTCAATTGGCTGGCAAAAAGCCAAGTTTCGCAGTCTCTCACCCATCCGTCCGGTGCAGATGGGGATGGGATGGACCGCAGCGGCTGGATGAAGGGATTGAGACTCAATATCAGGCATGTTCTTCCTGTGATGGCAACGCGATGGCGCCTGCCCCTCCATCCCCGCGATGCCGAATCGCCGTTTGAGCTTACCCCACACTTGCGGCAGAGCAGGGATCCGACTTTCACTTAACACTGTGTGGCCAGGATGTGTCTGGCTCTCGTACACCCCCAAAGCAGCAAATCCGCCTTCTCAGGAGCGAGCGAGCAACTATAACCTTTGAGTAGTTGTAGAATTGTAAAGTTGAGGATGCGAAGCCTGCCGCGTGGCGCGCTGTTTGACAATTCAATTTGCAACGGGACCCGAATTCCACCCGCCCCAGACATGGCGGGGCCTAGATCCCCTTTTTGCCGAGGTTTCTACCGTGACGTCCGTGGCTGGATTGCGACGGGCCGAGAGACCCTCAAAACCCCAACTGCCGCCCAAACCCGAAGCATGCCCCTGGCTCTGTCTGTCCTTTGACATTACCGAATAGGAGCACTCTAGTCCCATAACTACTTTGCCTGATTTCTGATACTGCTCGTTCCGTCATACCTGAACATCGCGCGTTTTGCGACAATTACCAAGCACCATTCCTGGAACGGCACAAAGGGGGTTTACGCTGAGAGGGTACTTAATACGTTGAAACGCCGTCCCAAGACGGTATCCCGGATCGACCGCGCTCTCCGAACTATACAGTCCCCTAACACAAGATGACCACGCCCTCACAGTCTGAGACCGCCGGCGCGGCGGTCAACCAAAAGCTCCAGTCCGCCCTTCCGTCTGCGGTCGCCAACAAGATCCCTCACATTCCCGAGAGCAAGGATGAGCTCAAAGCCGAGATCAAGGCCGAGGCAAAAGCAGCAGCATCCTCGGGCCTGTCACAACTCCGGTCCTTCGTCGCCGGCGGCTTCGGCGGTGTGTGCGCCGTCGTCGTTGGCCACCCCTTTGATCTGGTCAAGGTGCGCCTGCAAACTGCCGAGAAGGGCGTCTACTCGAGCGCCCTCGACGTCGTCCGGAAGAGCGTGGCCAAGGATGGGTTGCGGCGGGGTCTGTACGCCGGCGTCTCCGCGCCGTTGGTCGGCGTCACCCCCATGTGTACGTCCCAGGTTGCTTCTCCCTTCTCTCAACGTAGCAGATTCGCTAATCAACGCGTTTTACAGTCGCCGTCTCTTTCTGGGGCTACGACCTAGGCAAGACCATTGTGCGCGCGACCAGCACTGTTGCCCCCGACGGCTCCCTGTCGATCGCGCAGATCTCGGCCGCCGGCTTCTTCTCGGCCATCCCCATGACCGCCATCACCGCGCCCTTTGAGCGCGTTAAGGTGATCCTGCAGGTACAGGGCCAAAAGAAGCTCGCGCCGGGCGAGAAGCCCAAGTACTCGGGCGGCATCGACGTGGTGCGGCAGCTGTACAAGGAGGGCGGCGTGCGGTCCGTCTTCCGCGGCTCGGCCGCGACGCTGGCGCGCGACGGGCCCGGGTCGGCCGCCTACTTCGCCGCGTACGAGTACATCAAGAAGGCGCTGACGCCGCGGGACCCCGTGACGGGCGAGGCGACGGGCAAGCTCAGCCTGACGGCCGTGACGTGCGCCGGCGCCGGCGCCGGCGTCGCCATGTGGATCCCCGTGTTCCCCGTCGACACCGTCAAAAGCAGGCTGCAGACGGCCGAGGGCAACGTGACGATTGGCGGCGTCGTCAGGGGCCTGTACGCCCAGGGGGGCTTCAAGGCCTTCTTTCCGGGCTTCGGGCCCGCCCTGGCGAGAGCCGTGCCTGCGAACGCGGCGACCTTTTTGGGGGTTGAGCTGGCGCATCAGGCTATGAATAAGGTTTTCAGCTGAGGGGGGAATGAAGTGTTCGGTGCGCAGGATGTTCTGTCTGCAGTTAAGAGCCCTGCATGCTGTCTTTCATGGTTTCTGAGGTGGTGTGGGTTGGCATCGTTGGTCATGGATATCTTGTCATTGCAAATGTCGTCGGCTGTCTGCTCGTTTGAGGGTGAGGAGTTTGGGTTCGAACTCGGGCATGCTAGATTTGAAGTATCTTTTCGCACACTTTTGCGAGTCGGGTTCAAGTTTTCCGGTCACATTGTCAGATGCTATTTTCATAGACTAGAGCTAGCTCTAGACATAGACCAACGCCGTATGGGTCCCTCCAAAAAGGAGCAACAACGCGGTCGATAACCTTCTTTCGGCCAAAACAACTGCGGATGTGCTTCCCTCACCCTTCCCTTTTGAAGGCCCCAACGCGCCTTTCTCACTTCAACTCAAAAACTTCCCACCACACGCACCACACAGCCCCTCTCCTACGAGCCGCCGCACCTCCTCCCTGCGCTCTTTCGGCATCTTGGCCACAAGCACTTCGGCTCTCATCGTTCGGAGCCCGCACGCCCCGCAGCTGCGCGTCGCCCCCGGCGTCTGCACCGCCAGCCCGGACGTGGCGCAAGTGCCGAAGAAGTGGCCGTTGCGGCACCCGCTCAGGGATCCCCTGCGCAAGTCCATGGCCAGGCCGCACAAGTCGCACGTCTGGGTCGCCAGGGCAGGGGCAAAGAGGTGGCGTAGGGTGTGGGCATCCCCAGAATTGGAGTCGACGTCGTCGGTGTTGGCGTCCGGGCTTGAGGCCGGGTAGTGCACCCCGCGGACTTCAGGCCCACCGCCGTAGAGGTTTTCGAAGAGCTTTGCTTCGGTTGTCAGGTGAGTCTGTTCGCTGGTCGGTGTGTGGTTGTCCATAATCATAACTTGCGGATCGATCGGGAGGCCATAGTCGGATGCCGCCGCCTGATCGTCCTGCTGCTGCGCCTGCCGCGGGCGTCGTGGCTTGTGCCCGAACAGTACGCTCGACCGCACCGTGTGCCAGCCGCCGCGCTCTGGGTGCTGCGTGTTATGGTTGCTGACGAGGACTGCGGATACGCCGCCGCCGGGGGAGAGGGTTATGCCGTGGAGACGGAATCGGTGCGGGTGGACCTCAGGAATCTCGAGCACCGTCGCCTGACCAGCGCCGGTCACGTTTTCTTCGTCTGCCAGTGAGTCCAGATCGCCGTCCAGGTCCATATCATCCTCATCATCATCCGATTGCGACACAGAACCCTCGGAGCCGCTGTCGTCGTAGGTGCGCGTTAAGTGCATATCAACTGGGACCCTAACCTCCACTTTTTGGGCAATGGTGCGCACCCACTGGGGCCGTGGATCTGCGGCCGGGTCGTTCGGAGGAGGGACGTTGGTCTGGTACCAGTCGTGCGTGGTGGCTGTGGCCGACATTCGTATGAGGGTATACAGAGGTGTTGGGGTTGGATTGGCCAGATCAGGCGGATGGATGACGAGATCTGGAAAAGTTAGCCTAGACTTGCTGATGAAGTATGGGAAAGTGTGCCGGGACAAGCTCATACCGACGATGGGGTTCTGGGAGCCTTGGTCTGCCCCCTCTCGGTAGATCGTGCCACAGTCCCAGGCGCTGTGCTTCTCCGGTCGATAGCTAGGGGACCCAGAGAGCGCCACATCGAACTGTTTAAGGTCAAACCCAGCGGCAATCAGTCCCCGACAAGATCTAACACTGTCATGGGTCCAGATCTGGAATTGTCAGCTTGAAGCCAGGAAGCCAATGAGGCAAATAGGGGAAATATTGTACCGCGTCTTCAAACTCTACAAACGAGTCTGTCGAAAGATGCACGCACATTCCGTAGGCGTCTTTGCGCCCAATCTCGATTTTTGGAAGCTTCCCCCTAATCCAGGGTTCTCTGATCGTAACTTTCCGGAATCCGACATAGCTGCGGTCGATAAAGGAGAGGACGCAAGTTCGGGTGTCGCCAGTCTGCAGCCAAGGACCCCATTTGAGTCCAAACGAGGTGCCACATGGGACGTAGTCCGGGTCCAGGGGCTAGTTGGACAGTTAGAGAGTCCAATAATCGACCAAAGATGTAGAAGTTAAACTCACGTTGGATGGTTCGTGAGGTCCTTCGGCTTTGAAGCGTGCCACTTCTCGCACCAGCCAAACCACATCCTCCCGCGGCTCACTCCCGAACGATCGATTCCCCTTTGCCTTGGTGTCGTCCGCCGTATAGACGCACTGCACGCTAACGACGGCGACCTCGTCGACATCGTTGACTGTTGCCAGCAGTGCCTGTCCGGGGGCGATCTCGCGGGCCCATGCAAAGCCACGGAGATACTCGCTGACGTCGGTCTGCTGCCCCGGCACGACCAGCCGCTCGCCCAACCCCCACAGCACGATCCAGGAGGTAAGCTCGCGACGCTGAAGCATGCCCTCGTTGGCGCGCGGCAGGATATTCCCAACCTCGCTGCCGTCGCCAAACATAGCGAGCGTCCCGGATCCGGTCAAGACCCCCAAGATGGGCCGGCGGTTGACACCCAACCCGGACGGTGACCAGCCGACGCACACGACGTGATTCATACTGCTGCCGACACCGGTGATGGGACCGTAGCCGGCTCCGAACGGCCTGTGAGCTCCCAGGCCGGTGCTCTCACCCTCCTCATCTTCGGACTCGTAGGCATCGTCGGACCCGGCCGACTCGTCGTTGCTGTCGGCATCTTGACCCTCTGCGCCGGCGGCGCCTTCGTATGGGAAGGGGATGTTCTGAGCCGTGAAGAGTTCCCGATTGACGCGCGGGTCCAGGGGTGGGAAAGACACGGGCATGTGCTTGCTGCCCTCGGAATATTGTGCGCGGATGGCCTGGTGGGTGTATTTCTTTGAGCCACCTTCCTCGTCATGATCCTCGTCCGAGGATCCATCGTCAGCTGCGGAGCTCCCATTTGCAGGGATACCATATTGCAGACCGCTCATGCGAGCCTTAATCCTTTCTCTGCGCTTGGACAGGTCGGGAAACTCGGGAACGAAGACATGGACCGAGTCGTCAGCAGCGACAGCAATCTCTCCATCGCATGAGAATTGGATGGCCCGCCTGATCAGTGGCCGTGAGTTGATGGTTATTTCTCGGAGGGGGAGAAACTTGTAATCGCGCTTTGTCAGCTGGCGGCTTCACGAAAGGCAGATGTTGCCAGAGACAACAACAATCCTGGTTCTAGTTTGTGAAGTGAACAACCATGCAGTGAGCCGGGATGGGCAGCACGTGACGAGAAACATGCCAGAAGTTGACAAGATCTGGATGGAGGGACAACATGTTGATGGCGAGTCGAGACCTTCAAAAATGCACTCTGTAACCGGAGGATGGCATGGTTGTGATGAATGCCGGGTGATCTGCTCGGATGAAAGAATAGGCAGAAACTGAAGTTAATAAACGAACTCACTTTCCGCTTATTCGGTTTGGAAACTGCCTCGCTCATGGTGATAACTCGCCACAAGATAGAACTTGTGGTATTGTGCCGGAAGTAGGGGTGTTTAGATTGCGCATATTCATGACAAGATAATCAAGCCATCAATGCCATGCAAGCCCTGGAGTGGGAAGTGAGCGAGTGAGAGAATGTTGAGTTCCAAGACAATGATGCTGCCGGAAATAACCCTAACCCGCGTTTCCAACTTTCTTTAGCAGGCTCGGCAGGCTCTCAGACGCGCCTCTCCATCCCTCTCGGACTTTCGAACTCCGGTGGTCAATCTGTTAGATGCGGCAATTCCATGGCACTGTTGTAGCCATGGTCTCTCCCTCCCGTGCATCGGACTTCTTTGGCAGCCACAAGCCTCTCAATCCATATCACTTTCAGTATGGGGTGAATCACAGGCCACGTGAAACCAGCTACTGAGCGATCTGTTAAACCAAATGAATGCCATCGATTTATTAGAATACTAGTCTCAGCAAGTCCTCCTCACCTCCCGGGACTTTCTAGATATGAGCTTAGCCCCCACAATAATGTGCACCCGGCAACAGCCGCAGCCCCATATACCTTCTTCGACCACCAATTCTCATCCGTCAGTGGCTTCACAGAATGCACGTTCTTCTGCGCCGACGCCTTAACCTCAGCCTGTCCTGTCGCATTCTTTCTCTGCGCTGCCACTGCCTCCTCTTCCTCGTCCGCCTTGTGGTGCAGCACCGCGATGGTCCTACTCAGCGAGAGCAGCTCCTCCTCCAGGGCCGTGGTGTTCCCGGCGCCATCGACCTCGACATTCTGGACGTTGCCAAAGAAATCCGTCACGAGCCTCTTGCGCGCTGCTTCCGCCCCGCCACGGAATAGGTCGTAGCGGACGCCGGCGTGGGAATGGATCTTCTCGTACGTGTAGCTGTCGAACAGGTCGCCCAACGTCTTCTTGCTGCTCGTGTCACGCACCTCGGTCTCGAGGAACTCGAGGTTGTAGTATGTGTAGCGGTCAATGACGGCGACGCCAATGTCGTTGTCCGCGTGGTGCGAGTACGAGGATTGGTCCAGCTCCGAGGAGCCCGTGGCGATGATGTTGGGCGAGTAGAGCTTGCTGTACATGGTATTGGCTTGGCAGGTGTCGATCATGAAGAGGATCTCGTTGTATCTGCGTGGGTCAGAACTTTGGAGTTCCCTGTGGGAATAGACAGTAAGGGGGTGAAGTTCACCTCTTCTTCTCCCACATCTGCTCGAACGCATCGGCCAGATCAAACGCGCCAATCTCCTCGGCGTCCTGGAATTTGAGAAATTCATTGCCGCCATGGCCCGTCATGTACACCAATATATTGCTGCGGTCATCTGTCAAGAGCCGCTTGCTCCGCGGCATCTCCTCTCCCACACGGTCGGTCAGCAGCCGAATGAAGTTCTCCACCGTCACCTCATAGCCTCTGTAGTCCACCTCAATATTGTCGCCGTATAGATCGACTGCGCGGTCGGCATTGGAGTAGACGGTGCCCGGGAAGGCGTTGCGCGGGTTGCAGGCCATGTCGTCAGGCAGCATGAGGATGATTTGCGAATCAGGGATGCCAAGCCTCTTGACGGTGCGGTAGATAGAGAGGACATTAGCAAGATGGCGGTAGTTGAACCAGAAGCGCGACGTGCAGACCAGTACGGCCCAGTTGCTTGTATGCTCGGCCCCAAGTGTCGCGGGCGCCAGCAGCGCAGCACCGAGCAGTACAGGCAGCCTGAACATGCCCGAGAGCTTCATTTTGGCTGGGAAAACAGTGGAAATGAAGCCTAAATTGCGAAGTTTTGCGTCGTTGTTGTCACATGCTTTTATCACGGTGATTTGAGCCTTCCAGTCGAATCGCTGGGTGGCTTAGGTGGTTGATGATATGGTTTGTCAGCGGCGCGCCATTGTTGGAGAGGACACTGCAATTGTCCTGTTACATAAGCTGCCCTGGGACCATCCCAACGGACAAGGAGTCCAGGACAGAATTCAGGAATGAAATTTTCAATTACCAAAATATCAACCAAATCCTAACATACTTCAATCAAGACCTCCTTGAAAACTACTCTAGTAACTAAATCTTGATTATCTCATATATATTATTATTATTATTCCTATACCATTATGCACTAGGGCTCGCTAGAGCCTCTACCACTAAATACAAAGGAAAACTATATCCATAATGCTAGACTAAAAATTCTTATCTCCTCATACTAGTCTGAAGTCCTGAATCCTCCCACTATAGAGATGTAACGGGCTTGGCCCGTAAAGGCCTCGGCAAACTCTCGGCCAAGACTCGAGATTCGGTGGACTTCTATCTCGTTCGATATCGGCGCACAGGCCAAGGATGTGGAGGATAAGACGGCAGGTATCTTGCATAGTGTTTCACTCTTTTTCATCATCTCTCTCAATTCGAGACAAACTCGTAGAGTCGTTACCAGCTAGTTGCAATATACTCCTGGGACCGTTACAAGAGAAAAGAAAGGCGTAAATATAGTAGCTAACGAGGCTATTGAATTAGCTAGTTCTAGCTGTATAGCTAGCTTGTACTCTAAGAGTTTCTTAGAGTGTAATAGCCATCTAATATATCTTCGTATATAAGCCTATTAGGATTAGTCATCAGGTAACTAAATATTTATTTATTTATATATATACCAGTCAAGACTGGGGCCATATAGGGCTCTCTACTATCTCTAATCCTCTATATCTTTTTTATCGCTTCTCTATATAGAGTGTTGAAAATAAAGTATCTAGAGATAACTACGGTGAGTTTTGCAGACGATACTGATCTCCTAGCCTTTGGCTGCGAGCCTTAGGCCAATTGCCGGCAACTAGAAGAGGCCTAGAAAACCTATTCATAGTGGGCTAAGTCTAGAGGGATAGTCTTTACTGGAGAAAAGAGTGTGAGGAAAGGTGGCCCGTGCGCCTAGTTACCTTCTTGCGCTACAGACGCGCATCTTGTGTCTTCTTCTTTTTCCTTTCCCCAGCTTTCGATTAGCAGAATTGAGTAATGTTTGCAGCGCCCTTGTGCCTCGCCATATATTGCTCGTCTCTCACAAAGAGCGACCTAATTGACTTCAAGAAAGGTTGAAGGCAATAGCTAAACCTAATTAACCTAGCCACTTATAAGGCCAAGACTTCGACGCTATACAGCCTATACCTTCTTGCTGGTTCCCTGGAGTCTGGCTGGATTAGAGGCAAGATTGGAAGGCTTACTGAGAAGCTATCGAATGAAAGCTGAAAATATAGAACTTCGTACTATCTAGAATAGTGTCACGGGATTCCCCGTTTCTTGTTCTCATGGTTATGTCGTATGCTTGCGGTTATGCATACGTCATGGGGTTTGATCATACGTCTATGGTCATGCTTACGCATAGGCCTCTGCTCCAGTACTTAAGGTCTGGTTGCACGCCCATTCCTGTCATCTAGCTCTTGCTCTTGTTGTAGCAATATCGATCTTGTATGTGCGAGCTGACCAGGCCTTGGGTGGTGCCCGTCACAAATAGCTGCTAAAACCTAGGGCCTAGCTCTAGCCAAGGCCCGGGAGGTCTATACCAATTGCATTCGTAGTGCTCTAGCTTACAGAGCTTAAAGCTTCTATAGGCCTATTCCTATTAGGAGCCAGCTATAGAGCATTGCAGAAGACTTCTCTAGAAGGCCCTGAATAGGACGCTACGGATAGAGGCCGGAGCCTACAAGGCTATCCTAATTCGATACCTCAAGGCTGAGAAATAGGTTCCTATACTAGATCTCTATTTCAATGAGAGGCTAGCCAACTTTAAAGATAGGCTCCAGAAGCCTACCTTCCTATTTCCTCAGCCTTCTTAGCTGACATTAAGGCTTGTGTAATGATACGTGCACAGCTAACCCGCTCAGCTATGTCGTATCTCTCTGAAAAAGGGTGTCGAATCGCAAGTCGCTCTGGTCTCACGATCCTATAAGTTATATTGTCACGGCCCCCACTATGAGCCCTACGTTTAGGCTATTGGCAGGCGAGACAATGTGGATTTCATGACGAAGCGACATGACTCGCAACAGAGGGAGGATATTTGGAGAGCGGGAGACTCAAATCGGAACTTGGAAAACCTCTCTCTCAAGGATCAGTATGACGAATCTCGAAACCCCAACTTCTGAAAGGGACTCCTGAAGGTTTAATTTGACAACGGGGTGAGGTTCGGTGAAGCCAAAGGGTTCACAACAAGCAATGTCCAAAGGTACCGACAATCTTGCACTTGA